GTATTCTGTATTTTGAAACTAGATGGCGTTGTGTGTTAGGTGTCCAAAATATTATTATTAAATTATGATTTAAATTCTATCGCAGACCATAACTACTATCTTTTAAATTTATGTTATAAGAAGTAGTAAGAGTATCAGTTGTTTAATTGTAATAGTATTAGGAATGGCATCATTAACACTTCAGTTACATGTATAATTATCATTTGAATTATTAATACACGAGTTTAGAATACTCTAGTATTAGACTAGGTAGGTAGAACTGCCGACTACCTATACCTATTCAATGCTTTTAAATTTGCTGTCTATGCTAATCTAAAAGAAAGATATCTAAGTTTATTTTATTAATTAGTTGTAGACAAAATATGGATAACCACATTCTTTTATCAATATAGTAGTAGATATAATGAATTAAAGTTAAATTGTGTAAAATCAATACACAAAAACTGATGAATAATGAAAATAATAATAATATATCTAATACATAAGTATTTTAAATAAAATGTTAAATTTGCATGCAATTTTCATGGCTAAATGGGACTGTCGTATTATATTAAACCATTAATACCACAATATGTACCACCCCCTTTATAGCAAAGATATAATTTGAATATGTTAATTTTGGGTCCAGATAATGCTTTATTCTCAGTTTATTTAATGTCAGTTACAATAATAATGAATCCCCTGTATATAGAAATATTGAGATTGAAAAATGTCTAGTTCAGACATTTATGTTTTAATATCTAAATTGTAAAATAAGTTGGTTAGTCTATTTCTATGTGATAATATTGCGGACATCTGACACACAACGCCATCTAGTTTTAAATTAGACAGAGCTTGTACTATGCAAGCTAGATTGACTGATAGAAAGTATTTAAGTAACTTTTTTTTTGTATAAAAACATATTTTACATAAAAAGTACCCGAACTCCGAAACAAATATTTGCAGATCATACAAACATTTGAATGCTCGTAACAAATATTGTGGTGTCAATAAATTATTATTATCGTAAAAACTAAATTGTTAATTTATTACTTTAGAAAGACTCTGGCCGCCGACAGCAGAGAGTGCGGCTGTTATGGGATGGTTCTGCGTTATAAAAGCTGTCTTCCAAATCAACGACATTACCAAGTTTTCTGACAACGATCTGTTCTCTGTACAGGATTATTTAGAGGTTTGTAGTAATCTATGTTACACCACCTTCTTTGTCTACTTGCCTATTAGGAAGAGGATGTTAATTCTCATTGGTTGCCTTCTACTTATTCAAATCGTAGCCATAGTAAGTTGTACCTTAAATATTCATCCAGAAAAGTGCTATTTATAGTAAAAAATTGTATACGGATCAGACTAATAGTTATCTAGACTAGTAATGTTTAACTCTCAGTTCAGTTCCACAAGTTTTTAAAAGTATGGCAAATAGTAGATATATAAGACTATAATCATAATGAAGAAAGATTGAATGTGGGCTAAGGGTCAACGCTCACTAATTTCAATCGTATGTCAACTTGACAAAGTCCATTTTTAATCGATGACGCAGTTGTCTCTTCGCTGCCACTTTGCCGATTTGCACTGACCTGCCATGCACTGAAATGCCTTTTTCAAAGAACAAAAATACAGTCCGCATAACTTAGAATAACTGCGGGATTTTAATAGAGTAGCTTTTTTTATTATTTATTATTTTACGACTGTTAACGGAGTAACCATAAATGCGAGAAAAACTGCGGATAACAATTAGTAAAGGATTAGTTCATTTTACAGCTTTATCATCTTTGTATTCACTACATAAGCCAATCTCAAGAACATAACGTACAAAATGCAGTAATGGAGTGTTTCACTGTTCTCCTCTCACTGGCCACTGGGGCGTATAAGAGAGCTTTATTGGAACGTCACCCCAGAAGCGTCTGCTTAGATGACAGACAGAGTGAGAAGGGACATAGAAGGAATATTAGTAAGTGTTATTTGTATCGGTAATGAGATTTGTTCGACGGCTAATTGGCCAAGCAAGAACAGGTCTTATAACCATCTAAGTAGAAATGTATTTGGAATTTTGTTTGTATCAGTGTAGTTCTGATAGTTAAGTCAACGTGGTGTGGTGACGGATTAAGAATACAGAGTGTCACCACCCCTATTCATCCCGTGGGTGTCGTAAGAGCCGACTAAGGGAGCAAACTAAGCAGGGCAACAGCACTGCAGAGAGAAGGAAAACTTGACACAAACCCTTTACCAACCCGTCTGGCCAGCGTGGTATAGTAGGCCAAAACCTCCTTTCTCAGGAGAGGCTTATGTCCAGCAGTGGACTATTAAAGGCTGTTGATGATGATGATGATGAAGTCAAAAATAAAAAAAAACTTTGTGTGACTTCTTTACATGATGGAACTGTTATATTAACAATCTTTTAACGGAACTTTCAGTGGTTTCTTCTGGCTATGTTACTTGTCTAGTGTCAGTTTTATTAAGAATGTAGTGCTCTTGGTAGGCTCTCTCGTCTCACACAAGGCAGCGTATGATATTTGTTTCATCGATGTCGTGGGAGAGGCATGCTTTAATTGCAAATAGGCCCGGCTCGACCGATTTGATACAACGGCTTCACAGAAAACCGGTGTTAAGCAGTTCCCGTACTCCGGTAACTTCGCTCACTCTATAAAAAACAACTTTTTACAGAGTGAGCGGAGTAAATGGGAACAAAATGTTAAACCGTAAAGAAAAACAGTGGCACTCCGGAAGTGCCGACAGAAGTGAAAACTTATATGCAGAGGTTACTGACACCTCTGAGAGGTGTCAGTAACGCAATAGTGTCGCGAGTTCAATTGTTTTTTCTCATCTCAAATAATGCCCAACGCGCCTAAAGAAGTTTTCACTGCAACAAAGGGGTCGGTAACGGTAACAGTGTCGCGAGTTCAATGTTTTTTTCCCATAAAATACATTATTTTGTTTGTTGTTCAAAAACGCTCAACGCGCCTAAGAAGTTTTCACATCAAAACAACACGCACTGTTAGAACTTCACTGCCTTTATTAGTTTTTCTGTTCTGTCTACTTCATAAATAGTGGCCATGCATTATTCATCTTCACGTGTTTAAAAATGTATTATAATGTGCAGGCACATCGAGTATAATATCTGCACGATACGCTCCGAGTCCACAGTCCGACCTTCGAGACAACCTGGAACTGTCTTTCTCGGGAGCCCTTCAACTTGGCAGTTTGTTGCCGTTTAACACTCCGAGTTTGAGTGTCGAAGATCTTAGGATACAGGTACTTATAGATTTTTATCCGACCTGTCTTTGTACTTTAAGTCCTATTAGTTAATTAGGTAGTCGCTTTTAAAGGTGTATTAGAATAAAGAATATTAGAAACGAAATGTAAACTGTAGGAATACCTAGAAGTTAAATGAAATACCCTCTACCAGAAAACCCTACTGATTGTCACTAGTGCGAATGACCGACAACATCAGAGGAATGCGAAAAGTACTTTTCGCATTCGTCGTTTTATTACATGTCTTTTATTCCTAGTTTCTGCATTTTTTCTCTCTTTCTTTCTGTCAGACCCCAGACTCACCAATTGCCAGCGAGCCTGATATAGACATCACAAACTCAGAACAACTAACCAAAGATTTATCAGAGAAGCTCCGAGAGATTGAAGATGAAAAGGAAGATCCAGTTGATCTGCTTCAGGTTGCTGTTACTGATGGTAGTGTTAAGGTAAGTTTTCAACACCTTCAGTAGCATTAGGATTATTAGCTTTAATATCGAGGGGTTTGAGGGGTCCTGGCTAAGACGTAACCGAGTTGGTTAACACATTGAAAAGTTAAGCAATCCTTGCCAGGTCAGTATATAGATAGGTGACCATTTCTTAACGTCCCGGTTGCCATACGAACAGCTTTGGCAATCGTTAGGGTAGTGGGAGACCTAAAAAGTCCGACAAGTCTTTCTACAGAACTTCGATATCGCCTAGTACTTGGGTTGTGGAGGTCTGATGGCAGTCGCGCCGCGTAAAAAAGTCGAAGTTCAGCCGAAAAAAGAAAAAAAAAAGGGAAAGAAGCTTTGGGATACTTCCTGTATTAAATTTAATATCAGTACTTCCTGTATTAGATTTAATATCAGTACATTTACTTTGCTTAAAAAACACGGTTAGTTGGCTTCCTATACTCGTTTAATTTCGAGGCTCTCCTTTTTTCTCTGGGATAGCCTAGTTAGAAAAGGCCGAACTCATCTGCTTTAAAAAAGATTTGATTTGAATGAACGATTACATTTCATTACAGTTGCTCAACAATTATGATGTACTAGCTTTTGTCTTCGGCTCCGCCCGCGTGTGTGTCGGTTATCGCGGTAAAAAAAAGTCATGTCATGTCGTCAGTTATGTCCGTGAAGTGTGGATAACATCAGACGTAGATCTAACGTCTCACCTACCATCTGACGCTCAATTCTAGCATCGCGAGATCCTCTCATTGGTCAAATGAGCTCGCGCCTCTGTTCTTGTTGCACAGTTCCATCCCTTTTCACGAATTCACTTCCATAATTGCTACAATAATAAAAAATGAAGATTTGTGGTGGATTTTCATTGATATAGGATTTGTGTTTATTCTGAACTAATTTATAGGGGTTTTCTGAGACAAAAAAGTCACTTATATAGACAGCTACCTGGTAGTAAAATATTATCAAAATTGGTCCAGCCGTTTTGAAGATTATTCGGATCAAAAAGAAAGACAGACAGACAAAAAATATTTAAACTGGTTTTTATACATAGGTATCGTGCAGATAACCGGGTGAGGATGAAAAAAACCTAATCTTTTGAGATAACAAACAGACACTTCAATTTTATTTATATGTGTAGATTTAAATATAAAACTCCAACGGAATGGATGAATTCAAGTTTAATACACGAAATAACAACTCTTATGATATAACTTTCTCAGAATACACATAGCCATAGTTATGATGTAAAAATATTTTTTTAAGCTACATATAATTTTTTGGACAGTAACAAATATTCTGTAAACTGAAAGAGTTGAATAGTTAAGTGTTGTTGGTTGCCAACAAAGAAAGAGTTTATCAACGAACTCTTCAACAGCAATTAAATGTCTAAATGACTTCTGTTTCTGATAGGTATAATAACCTAATAATTATAGGTGAACATCGGATCAGCAGAAGATGATGATACACCACTTAAGTACTGCTCGAGGTTGTTGGCCTCTAAGTTCCTGCTGACGGGGAATAAAGGAGGTGTTATAGCTGATAGGTAAGAGTACCAATATTTTTTTTTATAAATACGTAATTTTATGAATTGTCTAAACTGAAAAAGAGACCGCAATAGTGCTAATAGCCTATATGTTGTTACATACTGGCTGTAATCTGCCACGCTTCGCTGCAGCACATTGTGATTGCATTGATGAAAAATAAAAAATAAAACTGATGCGAAAAATATATAAAAACCGGGGTTGTCGCCAAGTTGTCGGGGATTCGATTTCTACTCAGGACAATTAATTGTGTGATGGGAACCATCATTTGTTATATTCCTGGGTGTAATTTATCAAAAGTATGTAAGTATTTTGCAATGGCAGAGGCCTATGTGCAGCAGTGGACTGCGATAGGCTGATGATGATGATGTATGTATTTAGAAATATTCAAGTATGTTTATAAGCAGTCTGGTTACCATAGCACAGGCTCTGCCTGATTTGGGATCAGAATGTCGTGTTTAAGATGTGTGAATTTACGATTATTTCCGAGCAATGTGTTCAAAGCATACTAACAATGTTTTATATCTTTCAGATCAATAAGAGTGTCGTTGAAATCGTCTGCTTTGAACTGTTTGGCAGAGATACTTCGGTTGTACCCGCAAGCAATGACAATGTACTTAGACAAAGATGTTGATGCGAAAAATCATAACGTTTCTGGTAAATAATATATAGAATATAAACATAAATATATACATAATTAAATAAATACTTTCTTCTAAATTCAAAAAGGCAACTGGGAATATTAACAAAATAAATAAATTAAATTATAATAAATATGTCCGTGCGGTGACGGCTTGAGAACATGGAGTGTCACCACCTCTATTCATCCCGTGGGTGTCGTAAGAGCCGACTAAGGGAGAAAACTCTGCTGGACAACAGCACTTCAAAGAGAAGGAAAACTTGACAGAAACCTTATTAAAATCCGTCTGGCCAGCGTGGTATAGCAGGCCAAAGCCTCCTTTATAAGGAGGGGCCTATATCTAACAGTAGACTACTAAGGGCTGTTGATGATGATTAAATATAATTTATAATAGTTTTAAGTGATTAAAAAATGGTTGTTAGCCCCGATTTATTTTGTTTAACAAATTTTGATAGCCAAAGCAGTGAAAGTATTAGACGTGCCTAAAAACCAAAAAAAATGTAGTAATATTGTGAAATAAAAAATAAACATGAAGCTTACTTTCAGTGAGACCTGAGAATGCTTCTGAATGTCTTTTTTTCTTTGGATGAAATGAACTTTCAAAAAATAGTTGTTATTATAAATGCGAAATTTCCATGTTTATTTTTGGGAATTAGGTTTTTAGAGATGTATGTTATTACCATGATTGCACAATTCAAAAATCTATTAGAAGAGTTACAATTGGAAATAGGTTTCTGCAATAATTCTATTATAACAGTAATTAAACTATAAATATCAAATGATCATTTTATTATGATCTTTTCCCCTTATTTTTAAGTACATTTATGTTTTTGCTATATTATATTTGGATGATATAACAAATAACACTGACTATTATTTAAGGATCTTCAGAAGGCACGGATTCCAATCAAGATCACATAAACGACTTTATTCTAGAACGAAACGTTTGTTACCAAGACTCCCTCACAGACTCTCTAAGCCAAGACATGCTCAACCGTAGCATGGACAGCCAACAAACATCCCAGCAAATATCTAAAAAAGATAGCAAATCCGAGAGCACCGAACAAAAGAGCTCCAAAGATGTACCAAGCAATATACTGGATAGTAAAATATTACCCAAAGATATGGCAGCTAGTGTGCACACAGATAGCACTAATCCTAACATGACTAACAGCAATTTTACGACAAACTCCAATATGACAGGAAGCAATGATCCTTTGTCCACTGGATACCCCATGTCCAGCAGTGGGGATGTCCTTTCCTCAAGTATAGATCTAGACATGAAATTTGACCATTTCGGAGAATCTACTACAAATTTAGATAATCTTGACGTGTTAAAAGATTTTGAAAAGAAAGAAGAAAGGGTCAAGAGAACTTTAAAAAGAACTAATGAAGTGCAGAGTAAAGAAGCTATCGAAATTATGGGTCAAAATTTAGAGGAAGATATGAAAAATTTGGATGTTTCTGAGAATTTTGAATATCAGCACATGTGTGATATTTTTTTGTTGTTGGAGGGTCATAGTGATCCTCAGATTCGAGGTTTGGTGAGGGTCTGTATTGGTAACTATTTAGTGGCTGCGTTGGAGCTATCCCATGGACATTATAATAGGTGGAAAAGTATGAGTTCATTGCCAAAAGATGTTTCAGAGTTAATAACTGTGGATAAACTGGTTCATATTGTTCTACAGGTAAGTTTGTGGCTTTGAAATTGATATTAAACTATAATACTTTGCTAAATTAAAACGATCGTATTAAACGATAATAGTGATAAATACGGGCCCTATTAAGATTGCCAATCATTTATTTATTCTACTCTCCATTTATTGTGGAATGGTTACTGTAGCAACTTCCACATACAATCAAATGTAAAAACATACAACAGCGCCATCTAACGAAGACACACCGAACCACACACACTCAGTGAAAAGCATCGAGAGAACTGCTTACCACCGGTTTTCTGTGACCACGGCCAGGCCAGGTATCACTCCCGTCGAGCCGGTCATTTGTGTCGAAGCATCACTCTCTCACAGTGAAAAAGGCTTTGTCGTATAATTTTTTTATAATAATTTAATGAACTGTATAGCAGCAGTATCAAATATTGCAGCATATTGTATCAAACTCGTTTATTTATTTCATGCTCATTCCAGGGTCTATCAGATGATATCCATTCAACAGTAAACCACACTCTATCCGCACTCACGAGTCTGTCTACGTGTCTGTGTAACAGCTCTCACTGGACTCTATTGGTCGATATACTAAACAGCTTAGTGAACGTGGAGGCGAACAACTACTGGTTGTGTAAACTTAACCTATGTCGGTTGTATGAAAAACTACCTTATCACAGGTATGTTACATTTATTTCCACTAAGTGACATGGCAGACAAACACACTTTCCAATAATCAATAAGTGTATAGATAAACTCAGTGACAAGACGTAGGGGCGCGGTGGTAGGACGAGAACGGGGTCCGGGAGGGGTGCGGGCGGCGGGCGTTCGTAGCCTAATAAGAGTACTCCTACCTCTACGCCCCTGTACCCCGCAGGCGAGGACTCAATTAAGCGGTTTTACATCAACAGCCTTTAATTGTCCAATGATGAACATACCACGCTACACCACGCTGGCCAAACGGGTTGGTATAAGGTTTGTGCCAAGTTTTCCTTCTCTTTTCAGTGCTGTTGTTCTGCGTAGTTTTCTCTCCTAGTCGGCTCTTACGACACCCACGGCACAAATGGGGGTGGTGACACTTCGTATTCTTAATCCGTCACCACGTGGATCACCACGAGTTAAGCGGGTTATCTATAGAAATTGTTTAGTTTACTGTTGCACGTCACCTTGGGTTTCCCGAAGTCAAATAAACCAAGTAATAGTAAAGTAGTAGAAAAGGTAGATATTAATATGTCATCATAAGGTCACTTACACAAGATAAGGACTTTAACCTTCACATTTTCTCTTCCAGGTTATTTATGCTATACCCACATTATTACGTACGTACCAAATTAATTATGGACACATTGATGCGCCTACTTGGCGATCAAGATCAGAAAGTACGGAAAGCGGCTGCACAGGCCATTGCTAAGTGAGTATTATTAATTTTCCTACTTAAATTCTGAGTCAGGAAGGTAATATTTAATTACTGAACAGTTCCAGATTTCCCAGGATCTTCCCTAGCGTATCATCATCATCAGCCTATCGAGGTCCACTGCTGGACATAGGCCTCTCCCATTGCGCTAGTGAATATTTCCCAGTAATTAATATTAAAAAAAAATGTATCGTAACATTTACTATCCATTATAAATAGTTTACCTATTCAATTAATTGCCTACAGCCTGATACCAAAAATCCACGTATCGAAACACCAGTCCCCAACAACAGTAGTAGTAGACATCGCGAAAGACGAAAGCCGAAAATTCTCGTTCAACAGCAACAATCTTTCACTGGACCTCGTCCGGAACATATATTTCTATAACGACCTTCCTCAGCAGTTGAAAGATGGACAGACATTGGGTAATAGTGAGGGTCTGAGGATGATTGTTGGAAATCTTGTTGGGAGATTAATGGCGTCCAATTGTAAATTTTATTCGGTAAGTAGCTCGGTTTGTCTCTTATAAACGTTGTTCTGTTTTCCTAGCGAGAGGTTACTTTGAGTGGTTGGCTAGAAAGTTTTTTAGTGTATTCTGATAGTCAGAGGGAGGCACCCTCTCTTTAGAGATTTTACCTCTTCATGTTTGATGTCTACGGAGGTTTCTTCTGATTAGACGGGCATATAATGGGGACTGACCACGTTTGGAGGCGAGACTGATTAAGTTGAAATTTGGTATACATATGCTTTCAACTCAAAATAGTAGAATTTTGAGTATGAAGGTCAGTTTAGGGTATCAAATTAGATAACAAAGTGGAAACTACCGTATGTCTACCGTACCGAAACCATACCTAGTGAGGACCTCAAATACGTATAAAAAAGATTAAAAGTTTTAAAGTTAATTAAGTTTAAGTTTAAAATTTAAGTAATTTAGCACTCCTCTCCTTCTTAAGTAATTTAGCAATCCTGGGTGATAAGCCTAAAATTAAAAAAAATACAGAAATTAAGTATTTTCTTATAGATTACAAAAAAAAGCATAAGATCTCTATATTCTTAAAATAACACGGTAAAAATCTTATATATAGATATATCTATATATATTGTACATACAAAAATATATCTACAAATCATCAAACGGCACCCTCTGCACTTCCACTTGGCTGGTTTTGCTTCTTTTACAGGAAGATATCGGTAGATAAGTATAAGAAGATATATGTTTTTCAGCAAGGTCTTCTTGAATCTCTCCAAGCTATTTGCAGAAAGTGGTCTCCATGGAAACACGTACAAGCTTACGCCGACCAGGGCATCCTGAGTTATTGCCTGGATAGCTTGGACTATTGCAACGGTACCGTTGTGGCGCGCTCCATACTCATGGAATTGTGCTCTTCTATATATCCAGGTAAGAATGGTGATGGTGAAAATAATAGAGGTGTAAGACAAGTCGGCGACTTGCTTTGCTAGTTGTAGAGTTCGAGCCCCATCTAAAAGAGTTAAAAGGATTGATATTGCGTTGATTGCGTTACGTCAAAAAACGTAACGTTACGTGACTGGTAAAACTATAATACAAGGACTGCACCAGATAGCGTATTGGTTTAAGAAGTTGCCTCGCCGTTTCCTACTGCGCTGAGTGTTGAGGGCTCGATGCCCACATGGAAGAACATTTTGTGTAATCCACAAATGGTTGTTCTAAGTCTGGCTGTTCTTTGTGTCTCATGAATGTTTGTAAACCTCCCCGCGAGACAGTATATATTCCTAGTTCAGGAGTTTTTATAAAAATAATACATAGAAACAAAAATACCTACATATTTTATTCCGAATCTGTGCAATGTACACACTGTTATATTGCCTATTTTGTCCAGTTTCTCTTGTTAATTGCAAATTAGTCAATCTCAATATTTTCCTAGTAGGAATCAAAATGTTTGCAGTACATTTAGAAATCATTTCAGAAATACACGCTATTCGTAATAAAACTACTTTATTTCTTATTCCTTTTCAGTCGAAATCCACAACATAATGCGCCACAAAACCACCAATCGCGAGATATTTGAACGCGACACAAGCAACTCCAAAGAACGTTGGCAACACTTGGAAAGCGAGAGAGTTGCCAACCTCGCTGAGAAATTCCTACAAGTAACACTAAAAATGTTGAATGTACTGGTGCACTTGATAGAGGAAGTCAATCCTAATGTGCATTTGAATAAAGGTGGAATTGCGTTACCCGGCAGTCCGGTTAGGAGGAAGACGTCAGGTATCAGTATAAGTGTGTAATGCTTCAGTCCATTAAAGTATCTTAGCTAATAGTTTTCCTAACAATCTACTTGCAATACCGTGTTACCGTGAGAGATCTATTATATTTTATATATAAATTTATATTCGGTACAAATGGGCCGGCTCGACCGGAGCGATGCCACGACCTCACAGAAAACTGGTGTTGAGTAATTCTTGCCGCCTCCCCTCTTCCCCATTAAGAATGGGGGACGGGGGAGGTTAGCTAGTACAACAACAATACAACACCCTTGTGACTCTTTAACTGCAAATGATCATGTTGGCATCCATGCCATGAAGAACGTATTTCTAGTTTTTCAATTATAATCCTAACTAATACCATAATTGTTAAAGAAAGTTTGTTTGTTTATTACACCTTCAAGTCTAAACTACTTAAACAATGATCATGAAATTTAGTTTAAATATTGCCCGGGCGCAGAAAAGGATATAGGGTGTTTTTCTTAAATAAAACTAAATAAATTAGTATATTACAAATCGTTATCAATACTAGGAAAGAAATAGATAGCGATACGTAACATGACCCAGAATGTATTGGTAGTAAGTTATGTCTGCCGTTACACACACACTGAACACTACTTTTTTTTAATGATGAACGATATCATATATGCTTTCCTATATCTTGGCTTATACAAATAGCACAGACATACTGACCTGACAATACCTGGACCAATGTAAATAGACATATTGATATTTATTTACTCCAAGCGTAAAAATAATCTCAGTTGAATGCTTTACTAACACATCATTTTATGGCTTAACAAGTAACCCAAAACAAAGCAGTAATAACCAGTAATAATATTGCAATAATTATAAGCTAAAATATCATGAACTTATTGAAAGTCCTTATTGGAATCCTTGATTAAAATAGTTGTATTTTGTAGATGCAATCCCACGACGCGGCAGCAACCCGAGTGAAGTGGATGAGAAAGGATCTCTTCGGAAGAAACCGCCGCCCCCTGCATCTAGTCTGAAGCCCCACTTCGTTGGACATTTCTTCAACGAACCATTCTATATGAAGTTCTATGATACCTTAAGGGCTACATATTCTAATCATAAGGTAGGGCATACCTCATAGTTATCAGCAATCAAATATGTCAAATCATATGATTTAATGAACAGTTGTTTTTGATTAAATGTTAAAACAGAAGATTTAAAAAAAATGGTGTCAACTTTTGTCAATCATTTACTTTTAATGATTTTACAGAACCAAAAACATAAAAAGAATTGTCATATTCTTAAGTAATATAATTTCAGAGGATATCTATACTAATATTATAAAGCTGAAGAGTTTGTTTGTTTGTTTGAACGCGCTAATCTCAGGAACTACTGGTCCGATTTGAAAAATTCCTTCAGTGTTAGATAGCTCATTTATCGAGGAAGGCTATAGGCTATACATTATCACGCTAAGACCAATAGGAGCGGAGCACCAATGAAGAATGTTTCAAAAACGGAGAAAATTTATTACTATTGAGAGACGCAGACGAAGTTGCGCGGGTCAGCTATAAATTATATAATGTATGATTTCGTGAAATAATGTCTGTGGCCACAAATTATGCACCTGATCTGATCTGATGCGGTTGATCTTAATAAACTTGTAAATTAGTTTTTATATTGACCATATTTGAAGTTGCTTAAAGTTGTCTTTTATGTAAGTAAAAACACCTTCAGACTGATTTGCGTATCTTTAACATTGTTACAGATCAATTTAGACCCAAAATCTAGCATATTCCACACTTTTCTATCAACTGTACTCAACAGCTTGGCTATCCAACTCGAACTAGCCACAGAGAAAGAACTTGGCCACGTCACAGAAGAAATTCTTTACTACCTCAAAGTCATCATGCCGCTATGTGCTGATAAAACTGTATATTGCGTAACACAACTCCTTAAATGTCTGTTTGGAACAAATATGGTGAATCAATACTCAGATTTCATGAGTATTTTAGACAAAAATGAGGGTAGTCACAAAACTAGTTTCTTCAATGACGTCATGATGACTAGCATGCCCACTACCCAGGTAGAAGGCTCTAGACGAAGTAGTATTTGTTCGAATGCTAGTCAGAAGTTATCGTTAGACAGCAAGAATCCGCGAATGGCTGTGGAAAGGCAATTGTTGATCACAATGGAGAATTTTGCTAAAAATAAATCTGATAGAAAATGGAGCACGAATAAAAAGGAGTTAGAAAGATATATAAGGTTGTTCGAACCGGTTGTTATACAAGCTTTAAAGGTGAGTATTGTTTTTTGTTTCTGTTGTTTAAAACCAGGCCTCTCCGGGACACAAACACACGCAAAAGCCAGTCGGCACCGGAACGAGTCTGTACTCCCATAGTTAAGCTTCTGCCAAAGAACCACCTTTTATTATGTACCATAAGATGGTTGTTCTAACATTACAAGGAAATCTTTAAAGACCTGTTAAGATGTATCTGTTCACTAGGGATAGCAAAAAATTCCAATCACCTGTGATATAAGCACACAACAAGATTTATGGATCATATAATCACACATGTACCTAATTTATAAAACAGTAGTACGATTTTGATGGCATTTATCTTTATTTTTGATCAAATCACAATCACAGATGAAATTGCAGTGTCTAAAACCAATCATTTCATCATATAATTATGATTTAAAGGTATTAATAATTTCCATGTCTACTGTTTACCATAGATGCCCCATTTTCCCCATGATAACCTGGTTAAAAAGCTGAAGGTTGCTTTGGACCCTCATCTGGAAATTGATCAAGTATCGATTAATGTATTTTACATAGCTTTTTTTCCGTACCCTGTTTTTCCCAAACTACGTTAGGGTCTGCTTAAAGTCTACTACGATACGGCTGAACTCCGATTTTTTACGTGGAGCGACTGCCATCAGACCTCTACAACCCAAGAACTATGCGATATCGAAGTTCTGTAAAAAGACTGTTGTCAGACTTTTTAGGACTCCCAACTACCCGTAACGATTTGTACAAATTTTAATACTTTACTCTCCATGTTTCATTTATTAACTTGACCCCACGACACCGGAAATCCTAGTGTGGGGGCCAGAGTTACTTTGTTTTAGTACTTAAGTACTCATGTAACTTGTGTAAGTGTAATAATATGTTGTGAACAAATTTTTTGCATAAATAAAGATTATTATTATTATTAAACTTTAGATATAAGACACACCAATGTATACAAACTGATTTCTTCTTTTTTATTTTGTTTTTTGTACAATAAAGAGATCTATCTACGAGTATCTACTCGTAACGATTGCCACAGAAGTTCGAATGGCCAGGACCGACGGTTTTACGTGCTCTCCGAAGCACGGTATTTAACATAATATGTATTACTAGCTGTACCTACCCTGCCACGCTTAGCTGTGGCACATTGTGGTTGTATTGATGAAGAACAAAAGTGACGCGAAAATAGATAAAAACCAACTTTGAAGCGTGTTGAATATCGTGTCAAAACTTGACCTCAATCGGTGCAGAACTTTTTGGGTCTTTGAAGCGTACACTCAATCGGTGCAGACCTTTTTGGGTTTTTGAAGCGTACACTCAATCGGTGCAAACCTTTTTGGGTTTTTGAAGCGTACACTCAATCGGTGCAGACCTTTTTGGGTTTTTGAAGCGTACACTCAATCGGTGCAGACCTTTTTGGGTTTTTGAAGCGTACACTCAATCGGTGCAGACCTTTTTGGGTTTTTGAAGCGTACACAAACCAATTTAACATTTATGTATAATATAGATTTATAATAATACATGATCACGTTCGTTCTTTCAGAGTTATACAATGCAAAACGACATCCCACTCCAGTGTGAAGTACTATGTCTACTGAATCAATTGTTGACTCTAAGAGTAAATTATTGCATGTTGGACAGTGACCAGATATTCATCGGGTTTCTCTTGAAGCAGCTGGATTTGGTTGAACAGCATGAGATACCGTAAGCACTTTTATCAGTCATGAGACAAACGAAGAGATTTTTAGTTTTTTTATGCTAGATAAAAACTAAAAATCTCTTCTTTTTTATCGGTTTTTTAATTTAAAAAATATTCTACCCTTATATTATGATATATACACGGTTACTATACCACGCTGGCCAGACGGGTCGGTATAGGGTTTGTGTCATTTAGTTTGGCCAGCCGCGAGGGGGCGGCGTCCGCGTGTGCCGGACGTCGCCTAAAGAGAGGAAAAAATATACTGAGACGGAGCCCGCACCAGGAGCGGGCTGGCGCTAGGAGGGGTCCGGATGTCTTAACAACAGCTGTTCCCGGATCCCTCCTGTTACAGGCGCAGAGTGGCACACCGTGTGGTTTTAGTCCGAGTCCGACACACCACCCCGCCGCAAACCCCGGAGGGGTGACGGTCCGAGGGGATTTCCACACGTTAAAAAAAAAAAAAAAGGGTTTGTGTCATGTTTTCCTTCTCTTCGCCGTGCTGTTGTCCTGCGTAGTTGGCTTCCTTAGTCGGCTAATACCACGCCCACGGGATGAATAGGAGTGGTGACATTCCGTATTCTTAATCCGTCACCACATGGATCTATGGCTTAATATTGACTAAAAGGTTGGCGTTATATGAAACTCCGAACTGGTTGTGGCGTGTCTACAGTTTCTACCGAAAGTGCAGGTACAAGCCAATTGATTTTCGACTTTAATGATTATTTTTGTTTTGTTGCAGAGATTGCTGTAATTTAGTGAACAGTATTCTTATGTTTATGGTACAACTGTCGTCCTCAAAACATCATACTAAACAAATAATAGAAATACCGAAGGTAGGTCATTAATATAATCTTATTAAATTTCAATTAAAAGAAAATGAATAGAAACTTAAAGACTACTTTTAATTGGAGGTCAACGTTTGAGTATGTTTTTCAGTTTGTTTCATAGTAATTATTCAACTTTACCTATCTTGTTTCTTATTTCCTATTCTCTGTTCTTTCCAAATCATTGAAGATATTTACGCCTTTGCTATTAATAACAGTTTTAATGCTTTTTTACAGCTTATACAATTATGTGATGGATTGATGGCATCCGGTGCTCATGCCGAATGTATAGCCGGTTTGGAGCCTGTGGCTGTTAAGGTTTTTAGTAATATGGGAGGTATGTATACTAATGAACTAGTAAGATACTATTTAAGTGTTAGTAAAAAGGTTTTTTTCTTTAAAACGTCAATTTTCGCATTATGAATATATATCCTGTGTCGCAAACATACATGAAACGGACACAAAGAAGGGGTGTTCTTTGTGTCCGTGACTCAGAACAACAATTTGTGGATCACACAAAGTGTCGTCTCATATGGGATCGAACCCACAACACTCAGCGTAGTAGGAAGCGGCGTGGTGACCGCTTAAACCATTACGCCATCCCTGCAGTCAAGTTAAAAATAATGACACAGTAACTGTATTACATCGCAGGCTGCCGGCTTTTTTTGATCATTGACTGCCGCGATTCCTTTGATGTCACCCGGAATAAAACGAAAGTGGACTGTATAAATAATTATTTAAAAACACTGATTAAGTACAGGGTTGTCGTTTCCGGAAAAGTAATTTAAAAATAAGAAATGCATATAAGGACCGCGAGCGGGTATGTTTCGCGTCGAACAGCTAAGTGCCGCGCTTGTGGCCGGCGCGCGCGCATGTCGTCGCGCCCGGTGTCCCCTCTCTTTCTCTCTCGCTGCCGATGTCTTTAAGCACGTGTTGAATGCATGATTCAACAACCATTAAGATGTATAAAATAAGATAATGTTTACAGTTTCCCAAATCTCTGTTAAAAAGACTTAATTAATAATAGTATTATTTTAATAGATTCGCCAGTTAATGTGAAAACTAAAGGTGAGTATAAGTATTTTAGCTTTATACTAAATTCTTCTACTCTACGTAAAAATCGTGAAGATGAGAATTCAGTGTGATAACAATATATCGTTCAAATCAATGCACGTTTTTAATACCTGGGGAACATGTAAGCCAAAAAAAAAACGGTTAACGCCAAAAAATACTTTAAACCCACTATAGAAACCGTGAGGTTTTCAAAACCAGTATAGTGTATCGACATGAATCTGAAATGAGCAATAAAGTCTTCAACTAGCAGAAGAACCCGATGTATGATTGTCTTTCTCACATTATTTGTACCTTTTCTTCATCCGAGCTTCAAAGTAGACTTTTTAATGTCTAAGTCAGTCAGAAGTTCTAGAAATGTAACTTGAATAAAACTCCGTATTCAGACAAACATTTACGGGTTGTTTAGTGAAGAATGTAAAACACTTGCTATTTTGGTGTCTTGTTCAGGTACAAGCGTTCTGGGTAGAGCTCAGCAGCAGGAAGCTCAAGCGACAAGAGAAGTGCTATTTTATATGTTGCAGAAGACTATGCATCAGCATAAGGTATAGTGAATTACATGATAAGATTAATCATACTTATATTATAAAGGCGATAGTTTGTGAGTGTGTGTGTTTGTATGTTTGTGACTTCTTCATGTGAAATGGCTAGACCGCTGACACCCTGGGTTAATAGGCTACTTTTTATCCCGAACAAATGTCATGTTCCCGTGGGATGAACAAGGAATATAAATCTATCTGATACCCGCGGGTAACACCGCAGGGAGTAGTTAGTTAATTAATAATTTACCGCCGTTTTATTGGAGATTCCTGTACTAGAGACAAAAACGTCGAAGTATCACTTGGTACCAACCAAAGATTGCAGACGGATTTGATTAACTGGACCTCTAAATCCATAGCATGTCATTATCGGGAGATGTTGGTAGGTCCTTTGTTGATGACCTTTCGTTATTGCCGTCGTTTGACATTTCCAAATAGAAGGTGATGAGTACTGCTTCTAATCTTTTAAAAAATAATTTTAACATTTAACTATTAACGAAAAGAAAAACAAATCCCGCACTGTGAATATATCCTGTGTGTGTGACCTAAAAAATATTCATAAAACGGACACAAAGAACACCCAGACTCAGAACAACAATTCGTGTGACACACAGAGTGTTGTCCTATTTGTCACAACACACAGTGCAGTAAGAAGCTGCGTGGCGACCGCTTAAACTACTACGCCATCCGTGGAGTCTATGGTTCCCGTTGCCCGATTTTTTTAAGTTTTAATTATTTTAGGTGCTAGAACTAGTATCATGCGTGCTATCCGTATCCCAAGAACATCCTGAGAGCTACTACCGCTGGTCGGAATTGGCCAGCGATACATTACTGAACCTGCTCTCACAGACTTCGGTGGAATGTGACACTCATGAAGCTATTGGAGCTTTAGAGCGACTGTTAGACGCGGTATATAAAGATGTGTTATTAGAACAAACTAGGATTGAGGTGTTGTTGAAGATATTGTTCAAAGCGCCTCCGGATCAGGTAAGCAATTATGCATATTTTTTTAAAATAATTACGCTTGTAATTTCTCAAAGGGGTAGAAGAGGTATATTATTCCAGCTTTATTAATTAATAAGAGGTGATTATGTAAATATTATATCTACCGTGCTGTCACTAAAAATTTCCTAACCGAACAAGTCAGAAAGAGGAAAATTTCCGATCTGGAAATCCCATAAAACTGCAGTTCCGATCGTCCGATCCGGGTTTCTCGATAACGACTAAGACCTATCCAGACCCCTAATGCAGAACCCTCAGACAAAGATATAAATTTCCTGGTTTCGCTTTGAATGAGTTTCGTCATACTCCTAACGGCTTTAATTTCAAAAAGTCTTAATTTAACGATATTCTTTCTTTTTCAGACAACAACTCCTTTAAAATTAAAGCTCAGATATCTTTCGATAATAATGGTTTTACTACGAAAAATACTAATCCTTATACCGGAGACTGAAATATTACTGTCAATAAACGACTTGAAATCCACGTGCGTGTCTCCACAAGCCATATTCTTCAACGTTAAAACTGACGTAGACCCATTAAACGTTCAGAATGTGAACGAAAACTGCGCGAACCTGTCGCCAGATGTCGTCCTAGTCAGGTTTCTCTTCAAAACCTTGACGTATGCGATAATGGAAATGGATAATGTGTATGAAAATGTAGAGAAGGAGCAGAACGAGTTGTTGTATTCCGTGTGTGTTAATATTATAGTGCAAGTGAAGAATATGCTGCATTTGACAGGTAAGTAATCTATAAATATTGATAATTTTCATATATTAAGAGACACATATTAGGCGGTATATAATCTGTGTAGAGATGGAAATTATTCCTACCTCTAAATCATAATTATATGACGAAATGATTGGTCGTAGCTACTGCGATTTCACCTGTGATTGTGATTTAGTCATAGATAAAGGTTAATGCCATCATAATCAATCAAAATTTCTTTTATCATTGTTTACGATTTTTGTTCACGAGTCTGGCGCTATTGTGACAACAATTAACGCGGTGATATTGTAAATCAGGCACAGGTGTTTATGTGTATGCCTATATGTGCATGATTTATAAATCATACACATCATACATCATACACATACATCATGATTTATCACAGGTAATTATGATTTTATTCCATCCCTACATCTGTGATGCTGATATGATACTACTTTTAATCACTAAAAACGATGTTTTGATTCCCCCTTTAATCTATGGTTAGGGCACTCAAAAAGCGCCAATGCACTTGTATGTCTTGAGTTTGCTCCCAATACCATTAAAAAAAACTTATCCTAGAATGTTATTATTATTATAAATAATTAGAATATTTTGTTCAAGATGGCTGCCTCTTTCCACTCACGGCTAAAACTGCACAAACAATTCTCCACAATGAACAAAGTGGATTGAACACTGGACTGTACAGCCCTGAAGAGAACATACCATTGGATGTGCTTAATTTAATATGTCTCAAGTCTGCGTATAAAATACCACTGCTCACCGTTCATTGGTCGCATTTGCTCATCAGGTAAGCGAACAATACGACTACTTAAAAGAAAACAAACTAAATGGATTGGCTTCTCTGGTATTTAAAAAAAAAAGTCTTTCGAAGCACAACCTGCTCTAAGTATTGGCAATAACAGTCGAGATATCTTTGTCCATCACAACTAACTTGATCAATCCATTAATTACCTGCGAGATTAAGAGCAATTATCACTTACTTTCTATGCCTCAGATACCAATGTTTAATCATTAAGACACATTCTAAAATTCGCTAAAATCACCTCACGTAATTAATGTACGCCTCTTGACACGTAATTTTTATCCAACAGTAATATTATCTATAAAATTATGGCGAATAATATATATTTCTCGTTGTAGGTTAAATTTCCTATCCCACAAATACTGGCAGAAGCTGATTGGCTTTGCTCGCAACCTGCCGCTGAGTGCCGACAGCGGCAACACACAGCTGATTCGAGTTGACGTTCTGCAAATCGCTTGTGTTATGGCCTACTGCGAATATTTCGTGAGTTTGTGTAGTCTATCTTTAACATTAAGATCATAATGTCAATTCTTTAACAAAATGGGTTCATATATTAAATTGACAGGTCAAAAACGTCCTCTCGGAAGCGGTCCACCTCACCTGGCTGTTGGTGAACCGGGTGCACATTCTAGTCAGTCACTATCGTGAAGAGATCGTCCAAAGCCTCATAGCCAAAGTACAACAGACGTCAGGAGCATCAGGTCTGTTGCTACAAGCCATTGCTGCTCGATGTCAGAGCTGCTTGACGGTAAGTATACATTTTAAAAGGTTAATCCTCGTCAAACTTATTTAGCTGTTTGCATGCTTTGTCGTCGGTTAGACTTCAAAAAAAGAAGAAGTTTCCGAATTCGCTAATAGTTTGTTTGTTATCTTGGACTTTGTTGAACTTATTTGGAATTTTCTTTTCTATTTTGGAGGATACTTCCCGTTTGGTTCAATTCAAATGGGTATAAAACCACCCCTAAGGTGGAAAATTAAGGAATACAAAATATAGTTTATTACAACTTATTGTAAGCAAATAGAAGTTGGTGATACTAAAAAAAAACAATTAACTGGATTAAATACATTCCAAGTTCTTTAACTCACTGGTAATTAAATGGAAGGGTTCCATAATAATTTGACTGTGCTCTATAGTATAGGTATACTTAAATTCTTGTCTAGTTGAGCCTCCCTAGAATCTAAACTGAGACGTTATAATAAGGATTATCGGTCAGTGATCGGTCAGTGTCCGTGTAGTGACAGATTAAGAATACGGAATGTCACTACCCCAATTCATCCCGTGGGTGTCGTAAGAGCCGACTTAGGGCGCAAAACAACGCAGGACACCAGCACTGCAAAAAGAAGGAAAACTTTACACAAACCCTATACCAACCCGTCTGGCCAGCGTGGTATAGTAGGCCAAAACCTCCTTTCTAAGGAGAGGCCTATGTCCAGCAGTGGACTATTCAAGGCTGTTGATGTGGTCAGTGATTGCAATTGGCATTGCTTCCAGGATGAATTTGCGCTGAACACGTACAAAATATTATCGTTATGTCACGAGAACCAGTCAGGTGCGCTGGTGTTTCTCATTTGTCGGATCATTGGCAAACTGGAACCTGCAATAGCTGTTAGGTAAGTTACGGCGATTTTAATTATTATTGGATGTGATATTTTGGCTATTATTATTGACGCTGATTTGTCGGCACAATTCTTAAAAATTTAAATAGAGTTCTATGCAGTAGATGCAGTAGCATCTTTAAAAAATAAACGATCATGAATAAAAACTTTTTGCGTTTTATTTATGACATCATTGACAGAGCCATCTAACAAACGCAAAACGAACTAATTTGTAACTTTGGATCCTACGAAGGCATGCGGCTATCCATTCATCATAACTAATCTAATTCTCGCCCAGACCAGAACAATGCCCAGTATGAGATTTGACGGCACTGTGTTAGACGTCTAAAGTTATTAAAAAAAGTAGTCCGTGTAGTGACGGATTAAAAATACGGAATGTCACTACCCTAATTCATCCCGTGGGTGTCGAAAGAGCCGACTAAGGGCGCAAAACAACGCAGGACACCAGCACCTCAAAAAGAAAACTTGACACAAACCCTATACCAAACCGTCTGGCCAGCGTGGTATAATAGGCCAAAACCTCCTTTTTAAGAAGAGGTCTTTAGACTAGATTGTTAGATTGTTTTACCAGAATTACAGAGTATAAAATATTGAGGATGATCTTATGTTTTATTACAGGTTCGCAAAACTGGCGATGGATCGATGTAAGATGTTAAAAGAAATGCCGCTCGAAAGGATCAACGTACAATTATCTAAGGAAGATGTTCAAGTTGCTCTGGAGTTGCTGCAAAGGAATAAAGTCTATACTAGGTAAGTGATTAATTTGTTTGCTTGCTTGCTTTTAACTTGCTTTTAATAAAGTCAATTTAGATATTACTCACCGACAGTCCATTTTGTACGTCCACCTCTGTGTAAGGAAAACGTAACAAGTCGAAAATCAAACAGTCAGTAATCAAAAATATTTTCTGCAAATAATTAATACAATAAATTTTTATAATATGTTTTATATTAGGTTTACTGAATTTTGTAATTCAAACGACGTTTGTATATTTGACAACGTGAGAAACCGAAACCTTATAATTCTTTTGCACAAATATATTTAAATGCTTTCATATCTTTTTCTTTTACCGTTAATAATATTTTTTATAAATAAACTTTACTTTTTAATACAGGTACTCTGCTTTAGTTGTGGAGTTGAACTCCTTGGCGTCGAGTGTATTTGATTTGTCACCTTTAGATTTGTCTCAAGACAGAGCAATCAACCCTCAGTACATAACAACTACGAATGTTGACGACAACTGGCTTTTGAATCAAGTTAAGAGCAGGTAAGAAAGAAATTCTGTGGAATGTCCGTGTGGTGACTGATTAAGAATACGGAGTGTCACTACTCCTATTCATCCTGTGCGTATCGTAAGAGCCGACTAAGGGAGCAAACTGCAGGATAACAGCTCTGTAAAGAGTAGGAAAACTTAAAACAAACCCTATAAACAGCCGTTTGGCCATCGTGGTGATACAGTAGGCCAAAATCTCCTTTTTAAGGAGAGGCCTATGTCCAGCAGTGGACTATTCAAGGCTGATGATGATGACGAAAAAAGAATTTGGACATATGCTTGTATCCCCGATGGGGTAAGCAGAGACGTGTTTAAATACCCACATTTTCCTACTATAATACGCTGCCACTCCCGTGATATGGGAAAAACCTATTGCCGTTAAACATTAAATTATGATTAATAATTTTGAGAATTAAAAGTAAGAAATTTTGGGCTACAGTGAAAGTTAAAGACAGGTAAGAAGGAATGGAATTATCGCTTGTACTGTCAGGGTAAGGGTCACTGCTGTTACTGGGAAATCGGACGCTTGTAAACTGTTCACTATACTCGTATGATACTCATAAATCACTATTTTTTGAAATAAAACAACCATAAACTCTTTTGTGAGTTTAAAACAATTAACCTATCCTTTATTTTGTGCTGCCATGTGTGCGGCAGGATGGCTCTCCCACGTTAAAGGCTCGGGCTTTGGTATTTTCTAGGGAGTCCCTGAAAACCTCGACACACCTGTATCTGCTCTTAAATATAGGCAACCATTGCTTGAATTACTAATACCCAGGATGTAATTTTTGCAAAAAAGAAAATATGTACTTTGTATCTCTCATTAAGTTTTAAATCAGCGCTATGATCAAGTGTTATAATTAAATATTCAAATCTTTGTTCTCAGATGTTGTCAAACTGATCTTACGGTTCCAAAAACGTGTAATCAAAATGAACTCGCCTATTTCTTATCCAACTTATCAAAGGACAACTTGGCTACTGTCATGGGGTGCCCAGAATTCAATCGAAAACTACTCAGTAATTGCTTTAAAATTGCCTGCGATAATTATTTAAAAGAATTCTATAATATCGTCTCCGTTCTAGAAACAAAAGAGTTTGAAAAAGAGTCGGCAAGAGAACAGAGAGATGTGAAAATCAGAGAGATGACATCGTCTATTGATAGCAATAAACTAAACGTTGTAAATACACTACATGTTTTTAAGAAGAGCGATAATAAGGAATCAAAATCACAGTTTTTCATACCAATAACTGATAATGAAAATATGAAAGAAAACTTCGGCAATTTACAGATTTCTGATGAAGAAATAGAATTGACGCCACCTGAATTATCCGATGTGTACAAAATTGGAATGTCGACATTAGAGAAATCTTTGACAGATATTATTCGCCTATTTCCAAAACAGATAAGGCCATTGAGCCAATCAGAAAACTTCAGTTTAAATATCGAACAAACCCTTGATAGATATACCCGAAGATGTCATCAAGTTTTCCAAGACAAACTTTTCTATCAAGAATTTATTACTTTGCACAGCGTTCTTACTGGATACCTTTCGTCTTTGCATAGATTAATAATGTCCATTGACGAAGTGGACTGTGATCTGCTAGATAAATGTATTGAAAGTATTATACCTACCTTGTTGGCGAAAAATATCGCTATATTTGCCGTCATTTCATTGCAGTATTTGTCGTTTCTGATCAAGAATAAGAAGCTTGTTGAGACACCCGTGCATGCAGACGTATCGTTCAGAGTGACGATATCCGTCACTGACAACATTGTTGTGGAAAATGTGATTAGTGTCGCAATTAACAATGTCGCAAAAGCACTGAGTTTTAAGGAGATATGGACGGAACTGAACGTGGATTCTAATGTTAATAGAACGCAATCGGCGGTTAGTTGCTTGTATGCGGTGGTCAAGTATTTAGTTAAGGTAAGTGTAAAACATTAGGTCATGAGCGGTTTGAACGTACATGCTTACACGTACACACGCTTACACACATTAACACATACCTCGCACACAGGCTAACACTCATTTGATCATTCATACCATCTCAAATGCGCTTACATTCTTGCAAACACAAATGTACATTGTCAACACGCATACATGATATTATGCGTTTTGACAATGTATGTGTTTTTGTACACACTACTTTGCTATGTAAGTATACAGGAATGATATAACTATGCATATTCTTAAAATACTTAGTACTTAGTGTACTTATGTAATTGAAAAATAACTCAATAAACCGATTCGTATACATATATTCCTATAGTATATTACATGTTGACGAAATTACTATAAAACCGTTTTATTTTTAGGATACAAAGCCTTTATCACCAAAACAATACATGCAATTTAAAGACCAAGGTCCCAGGCCAGACATAGTGTTGACAGGCGACAAACTGATCACCTTGTTAGAGTATTGGGAGCACAACTTCTACGCAACCAATTCTCCGGAGTATTTAGAGAAATGTTTTACAGAGCCAGTGGAAAGCTTATTAATTAGTTTATCCAGGTAAGGAATATTTGATGAATACTTCAATTTGGCATAGATTTCATTCCAAAAATCTTCCAAAACCTGTTAGGACTTGATGTTTACGGTAATAAACGCGCTCGCCATAGGTATTAAGTACATACTTTTGAAACGCCTGACGTTTCAACCAGGTTGCACTTGGCTATGGTCATAGGATAAAAAAATATTTAGATGTGTGTTAAACATACATATCTAATATTCAACCGTTATCACATAAAGAGATTTAAATGTGTTCTGATTTGAATATTACTAAAATGACAAAACAAGCACTAGTGGCAGCACCGGCGTTTGACGTGCCAAACGCCGGTGCTGCCACTTACGTACATTTTACTATTTTCCATTGTAGCTTGAGTGTACTAATTTATCAATAAAAAAAAATTAGTGCAATATAGGTTGTGTAACAATTTCAGTCGCAGGAAATTTTGATTCATGAAAGTAGGACTTATTTTTTTTTAAATTAACCACACTGTCAGCAAAAGTAATGTCATTAAAACATTTTTCAGGCTAGACATTCTCAGTAATATTGCGCTTATACCGCCTATAGCGTGGTCATCGGTGGACGTGGTTTCTAAAAAAGATGAATTACAAAAAATTGATCTTCCATTGCAAGCTTTACAAGATATGGATGTTTTGGAAGCCTTCTTGTTCAGGTAAGGCTCGAAGGACCATGGTATTTGCAAGATTGTAATAAAATGGAATGTGAAATTGGTTATGAAACTAGATTGCAGGAAATGAAGTAAAACAAACATTTTTACAATTCATGTTATCTTAATTCCGTAAAGCTCTTAATTTCTCGTAGCACTAATGATATGAGTAGAATAACATTGAGTTTCTTTTAGATGCAAATGTCTGATTGTATGTTAAAAATAGCTTTTATATTCCTTTAGGGTAAACCTTATAGGCTGGTCATCCAAAAAGCAATTTGAGGAAATGTGGGTGGGTCTGCTGGGCGCCTTGCAGGGCAACGGCACGCACTGGGCCGTGCGCGGCATCACGCAGCTGCTGCTGAGCGCCGCGCCCGCCGTGCGGAGGAAGGGGATCTTGCACGTGTCGAGGAACACGCACAGGCTTAACGAAGGGTAAGTGTCCCCGTTCAGATGATCAATACCCTTATTAGGGTCACAATAATGGGTATGAGTATGTATAATAAAAATAATATTCTACCACATTCACACAACGCCATCTAGTCCCAAACTAATATATACATATATACATTTTTTTTTGCAAATACATACATATGGTACAGAGAAACACCCAAACCAAATCAAACGTGACTGCACGGATGGCGCAGTGGTTTAAGCGGTCGCCATGCCTCTTCCTACTGCGCCGAGTGTTGTGGGTTCAAACCCACATGGGACGACACTTTGTGTGATCCACAAATTGTTGTTCTGAGTCTGGGTGTTCTTTGTGTCCGTTTCATGTATGTTTGTAAAGTTCCCCGCGGCACAGGATATATTCCTAATGCGGGAGTTGTCTTTTTACAACACAACACACAACACAACGTTAAATGTTCATGCACACAAATGTTTGACTTGAGCGGGAATCGAACCCGCGACCTTTGGCTTAGCAGTCCGTTATACAAACCACTACGCCATCCGGACGTATAAACTAACTATGTATCTAATACTAAGCCGAAGGTCGTGGGTTCGATTTCCACCAAGGACAAATAATTATGTGATGAGCACGATCTCTATATTATATATGTTTGTTTATTAGCAATCTAGTTACCATAGCACAGGCTATGCCTAGTTTGTGTCGGAGCCTAGCCAGACGGTCGTGTGTGTGATGTGTGAAGTTATTATTATATATATTGCGGCTGGTCAGACACATGTTGGTGTGATATGCCTAAGTGATGCCAGCGACCCACTAACACCTGCAACTGAAAAGTCACAATAGCGTTCACGCCCCTTTGCCCCCCCCCCCCCTCCTCGTAAAACAGGGCGTTTTGGGCGCCGGTGAAGAGCAACGAAAGAATTGCTTAACACCGGTTTTCTGTGAGGCCGTGGGAACACTCCGGCAGATCCAGTCCGTTTGTGTCGAAGCATGGCTCTCTCAAGGAATAAACGATAGTAGTATTTAAGCCAAAAAAAACCTGCACAGATATTAATAACCCTATTTATGAACTGAAAACTCCTATTTTATTCTTGAATTTTACTGAGGTATTTTAACACTGGTTGTCAGGATGCAACGCTTGCGTAACATACTGGTGGGCACATCCGCCTATGGTATATTCGACCATATCAACCTGGAACGAGTGCCGATGATGAACGATGGATACGAAGGATACCACTACGCACAGTTCAACACCGAGTACATGAAATTAGCTTCAGGTACGTTCGTAAATGTTAAATTTATATTTTAATACAAAAAAAGGCTTTATATTGACACTTCCATAGTTAAATAATAATTCAGAAAATCAATCACATCAAAATTATTTATTTATTTTTTAATTATTTATATGACAAAACCTGTAAAAATTGTTGTATTGTACAACAATTTTTACAGGTTTTGTACCTAATACAATAGTGTAGCCATTTCTTGTTAAAAACATATATAGTAGTAAATAACACTTATTTTATAAACAATTTTAGCAACCTCATTCATCACTACAGCCAGACACACGGTCACACTCATATACTTCCAATCACACACATTAGTTCTTAGGAAAGTATGGACATAAAAATGGGGGTAGATAAACAAATGTTTATTATTTCTTAGAATTATTTATTCATTATCAACGATGAGACTGGTTTTTCTATATATATATATATATATATATATAGGGGGCAATTGTCCGTGTGGTGACGGTTTAAAAATACAGAGTGTCGCCACCCGTATTCATTTCTTCGACACCAAGGTCGTCGACGACTAACCGTAAGAACCGACTAATGGAAAAAACTACGTAGGACAAATATCATCGTGAAGAGAAGGAAAACTTGAAACAAACCCTATACCTATCCGTCTAGCCAGCGTGGTATAGTAGACCAAAACCTTTTTTCTAAGGAGAGGCCTATGTCCAGTATAGGCGGAGCCTATGTAAAGGCCGTTGATAATGATGATGGAACACATGAACTCGAAATACTAAGGCGTTGCTGCCTTTGAGTACTCCAGGATAGTGGCACCTAACGTCTTTGCATATCCTTAACGGGGATAGGGCGTGAGCCAATGCATGTTGAAAATATCCATCTTTACAAGATCGTATTAATATCTAATTTGTAGTGTAAAAAATATGTTATAGATATAACAGATGAGGCAAGCTTCAAGATAAGGCGGGAAGCGAAACGTGTTCGAAGAAATAAGGACATTGATTTGAACAGCTGTCTGCAAATACTTATGGATGTCACCTCACAGATGTTGGAACCTAAGGTGAATTATACTTCCAATTCCTTCAATTTTCTTCTGATTAATTTGGTTGCGGGTTCCAAGGTAGATTAATTTTTCTTGGAACTTCCTGGGTGTTATTATTCGCTATGTTAGTGGGTCACTGCTGTTCATGTTCTCTCCCACTACTTCAACTCCTGTTGTTATAGCAGTGGGAGTGGGAGGGGACTAAGTATATATTTTTAGTTACACCTGCTATGCATGTCTCTGTATCACTCAGGTTTTATTGGATTCTAAAAAAGACATGTTCCTATTAAGTATGGAATAAAATATTTGGCAAATGGCCCCCACGGCTCTGATGTCAGGCCATTACTCTTTTCATGAAATTTTCCATGACTTATATACAGAGATGTGGCTGTATCTTACCGATAACGCGTTGGATCTCTGATTTGAGCTCAGGAATTGTTTCTGATTTATTAAACCCGAGATTTCACAAAACCCCAAAGAAAAAAATCGCACGGCGTTAATTCGCACGATCTTGGTTTCCAGTTGACATCAGAATTTCGTGAGATAATGTGTTGTGGAAATAGTTGCTGCAATAAGTCGATTGTTTCATGCGCGGTGTGGTAGGTGGCGACGTCCTGCTGAAACCACATGTCGTCCAGATCCATGCCGACCAGTTGAGGCCACAAGAACTCCGTTATCATATTCCTGTAACGAATGCCGTTTTGAATTGCCAATTTCGGCCTCATCTTCAAAAAAGTAAGGCCCAATCACGCCGCCTGACCAAAATCCGCACCAGACAGTTGCTCGTTGTGGGTGCACTTGTTTCTCATGGATTGCATGAGGATTTTGTGAGCCCTAAATTCGACAATTCTGTGTATTTACGTAGCCAGTCAGATGGAAATGCGCTTAATCGGGGAAGATGACTTTTTCAAAAAATTGGCATCGACTTTACTTTGCACCATTATCCATTGAACGAATTGCCGGCGCTTTCTATGGTCTGCTGGTTTGAGCTCCTGAGTTAGCTGAATTTTGTACGCATGAAGGTGGAGTTCTTTTGTCAAAATTCGCTGTGTAGTGCTTCGTGAAATTTGAAGTCGTTGAGAACGATGCCGAATTGATGTTTTCGGTTTTTCGGCGACTCTCTCGTTGTTTACATCAGCAATGTTTTCAAAAGACCGACCGGTACGTTGACGCAAAGAATTCTTAATATCCATAATCGACATCTTACTGAGACACCCTTTTTTTCCATTTTCAATTCTTAGAATGAATACTGGCTGAGACACCCTTTATTTAATTGTTTTTCGGTTCTTAAAATTGATACTGGTTTTCTTTCGGATTGAAATCCATAATATAAAATTTGGTTAATATTCGTTAGGCGCCAACGGGTCTGGCGGCGCGCGTGGCGCTGCTGGCGTGCACGTGGCAGGCCAGCGCCGTGTTCGGCTCGGCGGCGCACTGGTGCTGGGCCGGCGCGCAGCTCGTGGCGCTGAGCGGCGCGGCGCACGGCGCGCTCACGCAGTACAGCGCCGCCGCGCGCGCGCTGCTGCTCGCGCTCGCCCAAGCCATGTGCGTGCTCGACGGGTTCGACGGGCTGCAGGTGAGTGGCACAGAGCTGGGCGCGCGCAGCTCGTGGCGCTGAGCGGCGCGGCGCACGGCGCGCTCACGCAGTACAGCGCCGCCGCGCGCGCGCTGCTGCTCGCGCTCGCCCAAGCCATGTGCGTGCTCGACGGGTTCGACGGGCTGCAGGTGAGTGGCACAGAGCTGGGCGCGCGCAGCTCGTGGCGCTGAGCGGCGCGGCGCACGGCGCGCTCACGCAGTACAGCGCCGCCGCGCGCGCGCTGCTGCTCGCGCTCGCCCAAGCCATGTGCGTGCTCGACGGGTTCGACGGGCTGCAGGTGAGTGGCACAGAGCTGGGCGCGCGCAGCTCGTGGCGCTGAGCGGCGCGGCGCACGGCGCGCTCACGCAGTACAGCGCCGCCGCGCGCGCGCTGCTGCTCGCGCTCGCCCAAGCCATGTGCGTGCTCGACGGGTTCGACGGGCTGCAGGTGAGTGGCACAGAGCTGGGCGCGCGCAGCTCGTGGCGCTGAGCGGCGCGGCGCACGGCGCGCTCACGCAGTACAGCGCCGCCACGCGCGCGCTGCTGCTCGCGCTCGCCCAAGCCATGTGCGTGCTCGACGGGTTCGACGGGCTGCAGGTGAGTGGCACAGAGCTGGGCGCGCGCAGCTCGTGGCGCTGAGCGGCGCGGCGCACGGCGCGCTCACGCAGTACAGCGCCGCCGCGCGCGCGCTGCTGCTCGCGCTCGCCCAAGCCATGTGCGTGCTCGACGGGTTCGACGGGCTGCAGGTGAGTGGCACAGAGCTGGGCGCGCGCAGCTCGTGGCGCTGAGCGGCGCGGCGCACGGCGCGCTCACGCAGTACAGCGCCGCCGCGCGCGCGCTGCTGCTCGCGCTCGCCCAAGCCATGTGCGTGCTCGACGGGTTCGACGGGCTGCAGGTGAGTGGCACAGAGCTGGGCGCGCGCAGCTCGTGGCGCTGAGCGGCGCGGCGCACGGCGCGCTCACGCAGTACAGCGCCGCCGCGCGCGCGCTGCTGCTCGCGCTCGCCCAAGCCATGTGCGTGCTCGACGGGTTCGACGGGCTGCAGGTGAGTGGCACAGAGCTGGGCGCGCGCAGCTCGTGGCGCTGAGCGGCGCGGCGCACGGCGCGCTCACGCAGTACAGCGCCGCCGCGCGCGCGCTGCTGCTCGCGCTCGCCCAAGCCATGTGCGTGCTCGACGGGTTCGACGGGCTGCAGGTGAGTGGCACAGAGCTGGGCGCGCGCAGCTCGTGGCGCTGAGCGGCGCGGCGCACGGCGCGCTCACGCAGTACAGCGCCGCCGCGCGCGCGCTGCTGCTCGCGCTCGCCCAAGCCATGTGCGTGCTCGACGGGTTCGACGGGCTGCAGGTGAGTGGCACAGAGCTGGGCGCGCGCAGCTCGTGGCGCTGAGCGGCGCGGCGCACGGCGCGCTCACGCAGTACAGCGCCGCCGCGCGCGCGCTGCTGCTCGCGCTCGCCCAAGCCATGTGCGTGCTCGACGGGTTCGACGGGCTGCAGGTGAGTGGCACAGAGCTGGGCGCGCGCAGCTCGTGGCGCTGAGCGGCGCGGCGCACGGCGCGCTCACGCAGTACAGCGCCGCCGCGCGCGCGCTGCTGCTCGCGCTCGCCCAAGCCATGTGCGTGCTCGACGGGTTCGACGGGCTGCAGGTGAGTGGCACAGAGCTGGGCGCGCGCAGCTCGTGGCGCTGAGCGGCGCGGCGCACGGCGCGCTCACGCAGTACAGCGCCGCCGCGCGCGCGCTGCTGCTCGCGCTCGCCCAAGCCATGTGCGTGCTCGACGGGTTCGACGGGCTGCAGGTGAGTGGCACAGAGCTGGGCGCGCGCAGCTCGTGGCGCTGAGCGGCGCGGCGCACGGCGCGCTCACGCAGTACAGCGCCGCCGCGCGCGCGCTGCTGCTCGCGCTCGCCCAAGCCATGTGCGTGCTCGACGGGTTCGACGGGCTGCAGGTGAGTGGCACAGAGCTGGGCGCGCGCAGCTCGTGGCGCTGAGCGGCGCGGCGCACGGCGCGCTCACGCAGTACAGCGCCGCCGCGCGCGCGCTGCTGCTCGCGCTCGCCCAAGCCATGTGCGTGCTCGACGGGTTCGACGGGCTGCAGGTGAGTGGCACAGAGCTGGGCGCGCGCAGCTCGTGGCGCTGAGCGGCGCGGCGCACGGCGCGCTCACGCAGTACAGCGCCGCCGCGCGCGCGCTGCTGCTCGCGCTCGCCCAAGCCATGTGCGTGCTCGACGGGTTCGACGGGCTGCAGGTGAGTGGCACAGAGCTGGGCGCGCGCAGCTCGTGGCGCTGAGCGGCGCGGCGCACGGCGCGCTCACGCAGTACAGCGCCGCCGCGCGCGCGCTGCTGCTCGCGCTCGCCCAAGCCATGTGCGTGCTCGACGGGTTCGACGGGCTGCAGGTGAGTGGCACAGAGCTGGGCGCGCGCAGCTCGTGGCGCTGAGCGGCGCGGCGCACGGCGCGCTCACGCAGTACAGCGCCGCCACGCGCGCGCTGCTGCTCGCGCTCGCCCAAGCCATGTGCGTGCTCGACGGGTTCGACGGGCTGCAGGTGAGTGGCACAGAGCTGGGCGCGCGCAGCTCGTGGCGCTGAGCGGCGCGGCGCACGGCGCGCTCACGCAGTACAGCGCCGCCGCGCGCGCGCTGCTGCTCGCGCTCGCCCAAGCCATGTGCGTGCTCGACGGGTTCGACGGGCTGCAGGTGAGTGGCACAGAGCTGGGCGCGCGCAGCTCGTGGCGCTGAGCGGCGCGGCGCACGGCGCGCTCACGCAGTACAGCGCCGCCGCGCGCGCGCTGCTGCTCGCGCTCGCCCAAGCCATGTGCGTGCTCGACGGGTTCGACGGGCTGCAGGTGAGTGGCACAGAGCTGGGCGCGCGCAGCTCGTGGCGCTGAGCGGCGCGGCGCACGGCGCGCTCACGCAGTACAGCGCCGCCGCGCGCGCGCTGCTGCTCGCGCTCGCCCAAGCCATGTGCGTGCTCGACGGGTTCGACGGGCTGCAGGTGAGTGGCACAGAGCTGGGCGCGCGCAGCTCGTGGCGCTGAGCGGCGCGGCGCACGGCGCGCTCACGCAGTACAGCGCCGCCGCGCGCGCGCTGCTGCTCGCGCTCGCCCAAGCCATGTGCGTGCTCGACGGGTTCGACGGGCTGCAGGTGAGTGGCACAGAGCTGGGCGCGCGCAGCTCGTGGCGCTGAGCGGCGCGGCGCACGGCGCGCTCACGCAGTACAGCGCCGCCGCGCGCGCGCTGCTGCTCGCGCTCGCCCAAGCCATGTGCGTGCTCGACGGGTTCGACGGGCTGCAGGTGAGTGGCACAGAGCTGGGCGCGCGCAGCTCGTGGCGCTGAGCGGCGCGGCGCACGGCGCGCTCACGCAGTACAGCGCCGCCGCGCGCGCGCTGCTGCTCGCGCTCGCCCAAGCCATGTGCGTGCTCGACGGGTTCGACGGGCTGCAGGTGAGTGGCACAGAGCTGGGCGCGCGCAGCTCGTGGCGCTGAGCGGCGAGTGAAACGCAGCTGGTAACCCCCTCCTGATAACTCGAGATTCAGTACCTCCTAACACGAGACACCTGATGGTAAGTAGCTACCTGCGCCCGTGGATACCTGCACTAACAGTCACAGTGCGTTGGTGATCTTTGAATTTTGTTTCAACCAGAATCAGGAGGATAAGGGGTTTCGGCTCCGATAACCTCACTCACACAGATTTTCTGTCACTATCACTCCTATCGAGCCTACCCTTTGTTCCGAAGCATGGCTCTCCCGCGTGACCTAAAAATACATATTCTTTCCAAATAACACTGTAATGTATTCCATGTAGTATTAAGTATCTACTAGTGTAACATTTTTGTTGCAGGAGCTCTCAACAGTCCACCAAAAGCTTCTCAAATCTCTTTCATCGAGTTACGCCCCGCTTCGCCAGGCGGCGCTGCAGGGCTGTTTACTGCAACTGACCGGCAGAGCGCGCCACATGGCCAGCACACACACCCCTAACCCCTACCAAGAACTCGTGGCGCAGCTCAATGTAACCGTCAAGCAGTACTTGGGAGTTAATCCAAAGTGAGTAGGCAGTATAATAATTGAATGGTTTTAAATCCAAAATTATTAATGAAAATTGCATGTTGAAATCCAAAAACAAATGCAAAAAGCGATGCGTTTCCTCACAATGTTAAACTTTAAATATCAGATTACATTTCAGGTATCAAAAATTAAGTCGTGATCTGAATTACCATTAGAAGTAATGGACATAACAAAATATGCAAAACAGTTTACTAACGTTATAATATTACATCTTTATGATGGTATTGGCCCGCACTGAAACCTTAACCAATCGCAACACCGAACGCGCCTGTCGAGAATGAGTTGATGTGTTACAAAATCGCACCTGGCCCTGTTTGAACCTGGCACCCTGGCAAAGTTGCCACCATCTCATTAAAAACTTTATATTTTAATTGAACACTTATGTATCGTTACACGATTTCTCACTCACACCACTCAAAGGTTGACCGGTAAAGAATGCCTTGGGCATGAATACCGCCGATCTACAAATGTACGATGACGATGTACATTAAATAAATAAATGATATTATTATCCTCAGAAATTAATAATTACTTTTTAATTTCAGAATCTCATTCTACGAACAAAGTTTATACTGGACGGTGTTATTTACATTAATTGAGCTGGGACACCCTGAACTAATCAACATCGCTGTAGACTTCGTCCTCACCTACCCCAGACATTATTGCGTCGATCTCGTTGTAAAGGTATTATATTTGTGTCAACGGTAAAGAGCCTTGTGTGTATGTGTTTAATATATTAAGGCAATTATAGTCCATTCGCTTTAAAAAAATAATGACTCATCGATAAAGCCCCGCTCCCTGACCAATCAAGCTCCAAGAAATTATCGTTTCAGACGAAGGCTTGGAACTTAATTGGTCAGACTGCGAGGCTTCATCGGTGCGCCACTATTTTCTCAATGTGAATGTACTATAGAGTTGATTAAATGTAAAATAAATGACAGCATCCCCTTGTGCTACCCCTTTCACTTAGGTCGACATCCACAGTTTGTGTAACATCAATTCAATATATATATAATAATATAAATATAATTATTCAAAAATGAGCATTACTGCACCATGTTCATTCATTATCTTAGTCCTAAAAAAAGTAGGAGAAGGACACGAATTGGATAATACCAGTTTCTCAAGAGAATTTGTGATTTAGCTTGAATCTAATTTTACTCGTTTGCCCTCTATCTTAACAAAAACTAAGAGTTTTGCATTTTTATTAGTAATGCCGTTTTTCTTGAACGAAGAACTCTGGGAACGAAGTGCCTTTGGCTTTTTGGTAGACGTAGCAAGAAGTGTCGGAACAAAGTCTTGTTACACATTTTTCGGCCTCGCTCTTTTTCGCTCTCATTTTTCGCTCAGAGCGTGTACCGCCCGATTAGGAACTTCGTTCCAAAACTTTACGCTTTCAGGGAGCAGAGGAACATGGGGTTCCCACACGGGGGGGGGGGGGGGGGTCGTCTACCTGTTGTTGTAGATGTATCCGAGGGGATTTCAGCACGGAAAAAAAAAAATGGGGGCCGTGACTCTTGACTTAAAAGAATTCTAAAGCGAAATAAGTTTTATTACAAAGTTTTATAGTTAGTTAAATTTTATTATAGTAAGTTTTTTGTTCATCCTCAAATCGTTACTTAACTATTGTTAAATAAAAATGGTTTTTATTTGCCAGGGTATAACATCCACGATACGACAGCAAGTGTTACCCAAAGACTTAAAGAATATTATAATAGAAAAGCTTATAGACAACATGAAGAATTATTCTGAACATCATGCTGTACAAATATTGTTGGTGCACTTGTTCACAGGTATGTTTTGGATCCTCTGGTTGGAGATTGTGATTCTCTTTGTGGTTCCTAGGAAGAGTGTAAAAAATTCATTATTAATATTTTGCCGCTTTTAATAAGTTTGCAATAAAAGTGGTTGGTGGAAACATTAGCGTTCTATCATACTATAGACGACGCAAAAAAAAACAATATTTATAAAGCTGGTAAAATCATTAAAGCTCCTGCGGGCTTCAGGGGTTCGTGCAATTTTGCTGACGGCCCACGAGTAGGGCAGACTATCATATCTATATCAGAATACCATACCTACCACCAATATAAGCATAAATTATGTAGCTAGCAAATTGTATACTAAACAGTGTTCTGAGCTGTTTACATGAATTGGTTAATATCTTTCAAGGGTTTACCCAGATTCCCAGCTATGAATGACCTAATGAAACACTGTTCAACCCAGATACTCTTAGTATCCTGTATAGTCTGTACATGTTGGTTTTCACCTTGGTGTGTATTATGTATTGTATCATGTACTCGTTATGTATTGGATAAAAACAGAACGTTGTGTAAGAAATGGCGACTTAAAATTATAAATCTTTATTTCAGCTGACAATAAACTTTTAAGCCCGAAACTGACATCAGATGTCTCGAACATGGACCCAGACATTCTTATGAACTCAATGGAACGTATCACCTTACTTTACAAAGTTCTCCGGCATTCAAAATTACGAGAAACCAAAAGAATTATTGCAATTACAATGAAATATTTCTTGAGAGAGACGCTACCACCGGCGGCGACTCTTAGCAGAGTAGTCATAGAGTTTATAGAGTGTTGTAAAGAGACGGAGAAGATAAAGATGGATATACCATCAGAGAGAGAGAGGTGGATAGATTGTTCGGTTATGAATTCTGAGATTGTTTTTGAGGTAAGTTTTGAAATTTCACCAAGAAACTTCAAGGAATTGTTTGGTCTTCGGTTCTAATAAGCTTTATCACCAAACTGTACTATTGATGACTTTGGCTAAAATTAAGTTGTGTTTCAACTTTTCTTTAATTTTTGTACGTACATAATGAAGGTTTCCTGAAATGTTCCACGTGAGATGGCAGCACTGTAGCGTCAGGTCCAACCACCTGTCAAAACACATACACGATTTGTATTTTTCGATCATTTTTTTGGTTTATTCATTCTTAAAAACGTTACAAAAGGAATATTGTTTTCAAAAATGCCGCAGTGTTGTGCCGTGTCTATGTGTGCAAATAAAACTTTTGCGCCTCTCTTTTTGAGCTCAAACTTCAGTTCGGCAACCTTTCTCTGGCCGTAATCTATAATAAACTCAATAACACTTCCAAATTCATAGAATTTCACTAAAAAAATATACGTTCGGTAAGAATCTGTGCTATCTGACAGCTGTTTGGACCTGACCCATACGAAGCGCCGTCTGGTGGCAGAAAAAATATCGAAAACCCTCATTACTTGCCAGGACTGACTGATTTATCAACGCAGAGTCTAAACCGCTGGGGCTACAAACTTGAAATTTTAGCAGCTGATACTTTGTATGTTGTAATACCTTCAAGAAAGGATTTTTGGAAATTTCACCCCTAAGAGGGTAAATAAGGGATAAACGGTTGTATGTAAGTTCGTCATTTTTGAAAGTTAGAAACACGAAATTAGAAATAATAGCGGGCAATAGCTGGTAACTTAATGTAATAGAAATTTAAGAACAATAAGGTCACTATTGGTAGGATAGCAGCCTTCATCAATAAATATTTATATTTTTTCCACAGGTCTTTCAAGCGTCGATAACTCAAGATCAACTGCCAGTACTCTCCGGTTGGATATTCGAAGCACTATGCCATTTACTCAGCGGTAAAATATCATCAAATCTTCTCCCATACTGTCTACTAACACTCCTAGTCTCGGCGAGTTCTAACGAGTTCATACGAAAAATATCGCCTCTGACATTTCATGTACTGAGACTTGGGTTCTACAAGAGTGGGGACACGTCCAGGAATTGGGGAGTTTTTGAACAATTTCTTAGTAATAAGGTACCAATGTCGTTTTCTGATAGACGGTTGTTGTGTGTTGTAAGTTCTAAGTCGTGTTTTACGGGATCTCAATTGGAACGGTTGAAGGAGCTATGCGATAGTAATGAGTGTTTAGTTGATGTTGCACAGTGTTTAGACTAGGGTCTCAGAGACTAGAGTCTGGGGTCTTAGGGACTAAGTTCTCAGGCACTAGGATCTCAGGAGCTCTAAGCTCAGGGACCAGTATCTCAGACTCTAGGTTGTCAGGGCCTTGCGTCTTAGGAACTAGTGTCTCAGGGACTATGGCCTCAGTGTCTAGGGTCTAAGTGACTAGAAAAATTTATTACTGGTAGAGTTGCCAGTAGATATTTTGTTATAATATTCCAGTTTGAGCCATTATCTTGATATTTAAATAAATTTTTGTTATTTACTTAAACCATGTCTTTTTAAACACTCAAGTTCTCTCTTTAGATAGTTGTGTCATGTTTTGCAAATTTGAGTGTAGTCACATGATGGAGTGTTTAAAAAACATGTGCAATTTAGCGAATTTGAATATATTTATTGTTTTTCTTTAAAGACAGTGGTTGTGGTCGGCACTCTATTGGTGCCATTGTTCATTCACCCAACTTTATTTATTTACTGCTAAGTTGGCAAATAAGCCTCGTGGTCTAGCGTTGCTTACACACTTTTAAAGCGTGAAACATTTATTAATTTTTTAACTTCGGTAGCGCTAATTCGTCACTACTTATGATTAGATATTACTTATTAATATAAATTATAAGCTGAAAAGTGTGTAGTTAATACAAGAAATGATACTGTGATTTGAATGTTTTGCAATGTGTTTACTACTCAATATACTCTGGCTCCCATTTCAATGTGGATGTGCCACATACCTATGACTACGTGACTTCTTCAGGAGTGGAGAGAGGTCCTTATAATACCCCGCGTGGTCACAATGGGGTCTTGGTTTTCGTCACGTAGGCAATATTCTCTGGGGAATTTTCGCGTTTTCAAGCTCTGTTTAAATATAGCAAGGAATGTTTTCATAAGTTTTGCAATCCAAATAGTTAAAACCATATTTATGAATTACTACGTGACAACTAGAAGGGGATTTTGGTATGTAGTTGGTCCTATTACCAAAATAGTTAAATGGGTATTTTGTAAACATTCGAATAGTGGTATCATTAAGTGTTCTAGACAGAAAGTGCTAGCGATTTGTAGGGCAATTCAATTTACTTTAAATTCTATCATTTTTGTATTATTCTAAAACTAAAATTCATTCCAAAATTTTTAATAATTAAATTAACATTTATTACACATATAAAGCTTGCAATTGCAAAATATGAATCAGAATAGTTGAGGTGTTTGCAATGAAAGCTGTATCGGCTATTCTATCTGCTGTACTAAGACTACAGTACAGCAGATTTCTCATTATGATCTTTTTCTTTTAAGTTACGAGTATATGCCTCAACTGCATTTTTGCTATCGATCTCGGCAGATATCCACGAGCTTTCTTAAAAATATATTTTTAATAAAAGAAAAAGGATAGTTGCACTTTTTGAAATAACCGCAAATAAAAATTTTCACTCTTGATTTAAGTTATTTTTTTGCAATCTTTAGCTACTTAAATCTAAGGAAAAAGTATATTTTAACAAGAATAATAAAAGCTACTTTATAATTATAATTAATGTAAACTGTAATTATGAGAATCATCCGAATCGCTAAAAACTGAGACTACGGTTTGCACTACTACAAATAGTTGGTTTTTTATATTTCCATAGATATGGTTTTTTAAAATACATTTTTAATTATGTTTACTTCAATTAACGCGCTCGCTCAGTCAGCCTGATACAACGCCCAGTGCAACTTAATACCTAACGTGAGCGTGTAAACAAACAGAAATTTAATTTATAAAACTAAAAAATGTAAATTTACACCATTATATATTATGGAAAGCAATAGTTTAAAAAGTTATGTTAAGTTACTTTTTTATATGTAACATCTATCTTTCCACTTGTCTGCAATATTATCAAGTGATTACGAGTAAAGGGACGGAAATGTGTAACAGAACGCTGGCGATGCGTGCGTTTTTTTGTTTGACGTGCTAGAGTTGGCCGTCAAATGGTAGGTCAGATGTTAGATATCACACATTAAATGCAACTACTGTAAAGCTCGCTCGTTTCTTTGGTTTTTACCCTTTTTTTTAAATGAGTTCATCATCATCATCAACAGCCATTCCTCAATTCAATTCATCAATAGTCCATTCCTGGACATAGGCCTCTTCTTACAAAGGAGGTTTTGGCATACTATACAACGCTTGCCAGACGGGTTGTTAGAGGGTTTGTGTCAAGTTTTCCTTCTCTCTGCAGTGCTGTTGTCCTGCGTAGTTTGCTTCCTCAGTCAGTTCTGACACTCCTTAATCCGTCACCACACCATACACCACACAAATGAGTTCGTGTTGTTATAATAAAGTATATACAGTTAAATCTGAACTAAGACTATATTTGAATATTTATTTCAAACAATCGTTAGTTGTGCCAAAAATAATGGTTAATATTACAGTGTAGAATAATTGTACTCCCACGTCACGTATAGAGTCAAAGTTACTGTCGCAATATTCGCAAATTGAAAAACTTAGAATTGCATTATTTTGCAGTGGTAAAGTTATTTATTAAAATGGCTTGGGGTATCTACATAGTTGGGCCAAACTTTGTCGGGTGTTTCATAATGAAATATTTGTAAAATTTTTGCAATTGCGTAATTTTGCGACAGTCATTAGTGATTATTAAATATGACTTACATCACAGACATAAAATGGAAGTTTTCAACTTGCACCCTCACGTATTGTTTATCTATTTAATTTCTACTTAACGTATTATTATTCTACCTAAACATTTTTGATAGATTTCAATATAGCAATACTAATAATATTATTTTTATTTATGAATGTACGGTCAGCAATGAAAGTTGCCTACATACAATTATGTTAAACACGAAACTATTGCATTAAAATGAAAAATGAACAAAGTATTTATTAAATTTATTTTTTGAAGATTGGAGAATATTTAAATTCTATTTGAATAGTTGAAAAGTATCTTTGTGTTAAACGCTTTGTTCTGCTGACGGTTCTTCGCATTTCTTATGTAATAATTTGGAAGGTAATCGGATGTAGTGTCGCATACGACATAATTGTTTCTAGTGTCTTATTGAATGTGAATTGTATGATAATGTTGTAAAATATGTATATTTTATGAAATTATTCAATGAAATTATTATATTTTTAACGAAGCTTCCGCAAATTATTAAATAGTTTAAATGTTCCTTGTGTTTATTTTGTACCCTTACCCTATTGTTGTTTTAAAACCTTTATGAAGTGAGTGGGAATCAACGTGACACTTTCGACGTTCTGTCTTCGTGAAACCTTTTTACTTCTTCATTCCCATAGCCACGACAAAGCGACAACTTGGTAATAAGAAAAAGACAAGGAAGGAGTCCTATTGCAGCACAGATTCGCGACACCGTCAACAAAAAAGTTCACGAAGTCATAGATTCTGCTAAAGATCGTAACGAGTGCAGAACGTTCGTTCGAAAGATAATAATTTGTAGTGGTTAAAATCCTCAGCAATGAAAAGCAGGACACTAGGAGAAGGACCTCAAAACTTTACTTTCATGATTCATATAGTGTATATATTCATGGCTCTGTTCAAGTTTCGTGTACCTGCTAGGCTTCCGCGTGTCTCCATCACACCACTTTGTCCGCCCCTCAGAAGGACAGTTCTTGGCGCCAATTCGCCGTATGCAAGAATGGCCAAGACAATAAATAGTTTTAGTGATGTTTTAGACATACACTATGGATCAATTTCCAAAGTAAAGTCACTTGTTTGTTTACCGAATATTGGTCAACAATAATTTGATTTAATTTAATGTAAACTGCATGTATATAGTTAAGATTAATGTTTGAGTCTATGTTTTTTATCTTCAATGTATGTATAATTTTTACAAAAGCGGTGTTTACCTATAAGTAATTGTTACATTGTTAATTGTTTTTCTTTAGTATGCCTATATTACAAGTTTTGATGTAAACAATTGTTGGTAAACCTTAATAAATAAATAAATAAAAATAGAATGTTTTCAAGGCATTAAAGGCCGAATAAACAGCGGACGAGCGAATGTACTACTTGACATGGGGACGAGCTGCGTTAGGCCGAGAAATTGTTTGGTCTTGGATAATTGGCACTCCCACCACTTTTCAAGACACATTTTACCTCGCACATCCAAACTGTGGAACAAGTTATCGTCTACGGTGTTTTCGAACCGATACGACCTTCAAATTCTTAAGAAAAAGGCGTACTTCTTCCTCAAAGGCCGTCAAAGCGCTTGTGACTTCTGAGTTGGCATTCATTCAGGGCATACATGGGCGGCGGTAGTCGCTTTCCATCACGTGACCGGTCTGCTCGTTTGCCCCCTCTTCCATAAAAAAAAGAAAATAGATAAAAAAATTGTACATTTTACCCGCTGACTTACTGACTGACCTTAATAAATTATTTAGATAAATACGCATTCTTTTAGTTCTAAAACTGTCCGTGCTTATCATAACATTCCTTTTAGATGATGATATGAATATGATACATAAAAAAATACATTATAAATTACTTGATATATGTGATTCGAATTATAAATGAATTATCTTGTTTTTAGGTTTTTCACTTGTACAATACATAACAAAAAATAATTGCATTGGTTGTATATTTTTCTAATAATATCAAATTGAAACCCAAAATATAGTCTTCGCAATTCATTTTCACTTTAGTATGGCCATGTGTATGCTTCTGCTTTACTCTTTCACTCATTTCTACATCACCCAAGGTAGACTGGCAGAGAATGATTATGTACACATTGTGCATAAATAAATTAAATAAGTATTCCGAGCATGAAATATCATTAAATGTTTTAACTGTGTATTTTCTATCCGGGGAAGAACCCAGTGATATTATAAACTAATTTTTATTGGAGAAATAAATGTGGTTTAAATTATAAAGGAGGATTATAAAATACGTGTGAGTTCGACGGAAGCCCACTAAAGCAACCTTGGCTTTTAGATATGATTCGTTTAATCATATTGTTTTAACACTCGAATAAGTTGAGTTCTGCTGATTTATTTTTAGGTATTTATAATTGTACCTGTGTGGCGGCACGCTGACCGACGACTTAAAGAAAGCGGATGGATGCAGACTGCCCTGGCCCGGGATAGCTGGTGCTCATTAGGGTCGCCATTCAGTATCCATGAGCGGCAATAGGCTAATGATGCAACTACTTTTTCCTTTCTCCGAGCATTCTACTACAATACGTTTGAACTTCGGTTTTCTTACCTCCGGCCACGGCCATCAGACCTCCACAATCCATTACTATTTGATATCGAAGTGAATATAATTTATTTATACAACTTCCCAACATCAATCACTTCCTAATAGGCCTGTATAACAAGGCATGGTCATTTCAGCTGGTCGGAGGATTCCCCCCTTGCTTGAAGGGACATAGCACCCCGTTCTGTTCATGAATAGACAGGCAGTAATGAATAAACACTAGGGGTGGTCATTTAGCTTCTTATATTTGTTACCTATCCCTTATTAACCGACTTCAAAAAAGGAGGAGGTTCTATGTTCCACTGTATGTATTTTTTTTTATTTTGACGTGATTTTTTTTTTTTTTTTTATTTTTAGTGAGAGGCACGCGTCCCTTCCACTCGGGCATGGTTAGCCCGCCTAAGAGCGAGAGAGACAGACATAAAAGTGAAAGGCACGCGTCCCTTCCACTCGAGCACAGTTAGCCCGCCTAAGAGCGAGAGAGACAGAGTGAGAGAGAGAGAGTGAGAGAGAATAAATGTTTTAAATTGTTACTATTATTTCATCCTTCTTCCTACTATACGAATGAATATTCACATTAAAATTATTTTACCACTCAAAGTCGTTGTCACGTAAAACTTTCGCCCGTATACCGACTTTACAGGCAACCAATTTTTTTTTATGTATGTTCATCGATTACTTCGTCAATTGTGAACCGATTTTCAAATTATTTTTTGTTAGTTTGTTACCTTTATTCGATTTCACTTTTCCATAGCCAATTTTTTTGCCGTACAGATTGCGAAAGCCTCTCGCGACATAGAAGATGTGGAATACACTAGTGCGGGAGATCTTTTTTTTTTAAGAAATTACCTAATCAATGTTAGACATTACCTACTTTAAAACTCATATTTTTATCTACTTTTAACTATAAATAAATATCTTTTATCAACATTAATACGTCAGAAATATGGGCGGTATCGTACGGCTACGCCGTTGCACTTGTGTTTGTAAATTCGATTTCTACCTGGTACGATGTAAGTCGATGTGAAGTAATTATATAAGCACCAAACACAAGATATCTCTAACTGGAAGGGTTAACAGGAAAGCTAAGGAGTAAAGTGTGTCTTTTTACCACGGTCGCATTCTTCTGAGAAGACGTCATCTCGCAGAAGGTGCCGGCGGAGAGGCCCCGGGAGAATGATCTCCACTCGGACTTAATTCGGCGTCGACGAACCGGCGGAGGCGCGCCTACCCGCATCTCATGCCACCTTGCGTGTGGCCGCGGGTGGATGGGACGGGTTTGCTTTATTCCCGCCATAACGGCCAGCCGCAAAGAGGTGACGACCGCGTGTGCTGGATGTCGCCTAAATAGAGAATGTACCCGAAGGTGGTGCCCGCGCCATTGCGGGCAAGCGCCGGGAGGGGTCTGGATGTCTTAATAACAGCAGTTCCCGGATCCCTCCTATTATAGGCGCAGAGTGGTACACCGTGTGGTTTTAGTCGGTTCGATTCCGACACACCACCCCGCCGCAAACCCCGGTTGGGTGACGGCCAGAGGGGGTATCTCGCTTAACATAGGTATATTACGCTACACACACTGATTGGACCTGATAAGTGACGCTGCAAATGGGTTCTGTAAATAACTTATATTTTGGCCAAAGTGTTAGTTTCATATTTTAGTTTGTTTTAGTGTCAGGCAGAGGTAATGTTTATTAGGTCCACTAGTAGCTAAATAAGTGGATACCACAATAACAAAAACTAAACATTTCACTAAGGATCTCCAAAAGAAATTTCAAATGAATGAGTCAAAACAAATATTGATGTCTTATCACCCGATTATCCATATCAGCGATAATTACTGATAGAAAATAAATTAATCTATCCAGTATTGTTGGAGATTCACAAAATGGCGGTTCAACGGCGTGGTTACATTTTCGGTGCATTTCTTTTGAGTGTTTTGTGTGTATTATTGGTTGTTGTGGGTATATCTAGTGATAGTTGGGTAAGTACTTTGTTATTTATTGTACAATATTACGGGATGTAGCAATGCTTTACCGTGTGGGCTTGTCCGTTATAGGCGCCGTCATCATATACAGAAACAAAAAACTAGACTGATTGAATATACTATCGAATAAAAATAGGTATAAATATACATAGTTGACTATACGTAGTTGTAATAATTTTTAAAATAATTTCTTTTAATATCTCACCCAATAGACTTTAGATTAAAATATGTGAAAACATAATTTAGGCTCTACAAAATCCGCAATTCAGTCTTTTTATACCTAAGTTCATCGAATCAAAATCGGTTCAGCCGTTTAAGAGTAACCTTAGATCGTCCGTGAGGTGATGGATTAAGAATACGGAGTGTCACCACTCCTATTCATCCAGTGAGTGTCGTAAGAGGCTCTTACGACTCAGCTATAGAATAAGGGAGCAAACTACGCAGGACAACAGCACTGTGAAGAGGAGGAAAATTTGAGATAAACCCTTTACCAACACGTCTGACCAGCGTGGTATAGTAGGCCTAAACCTTCTTTCTGAGGAGAGGCCTATGTCCAGCAGTGGACTATTAACGGCTGTAGTATGTGTAGAACATAAAGACGCACATAATTACGTACAGCTCAAATAGATAACCCTCCTTTTGGGCTTTACCGCAGTCAGGTAAATTATTAGTCACAACGATATAAGTTCAGGTAAGCACATTGATCAGGTAAGCAAATCGATTTGTGCGGCGGAATGGGTCTGTTTGCTTGTTATCATTGTCAGCCGCGAAGAAGTGCCGTCGTTGAGAGGGAGACCACTGATGTGTGAGCAATAGGCGTTTTTGCGAACTCTTACATTTGATTCGACATCATCCCACCAAAAACATATATGACGACTACAAACAAAACTAACCTAACGGTTAATTTATTAATTTATTTATTTATTTAATTTATTAATTATAAGATCATTGATGTACACTTGGTTGGCAAATAAAGATTTCATTTGATTTGATTTGAATTAATGCTCTCACTTTATTAAATAAGTATACGACTTAATTTTAAAGATTAAAAATGAGTCGCATTGTTAGTTTCTTATTTCTATGGTTAGTAAAACCCAACGGTCCAAAGGACCTTGTGTAAGTTTTGTTCACATCGACTCGATCGTCAAGTTGACCGCTTTCGGCGTTGTAACTGACCCGAACTAAACTCTTCACCGTGACGATTGAGTAGAGGTGAAATATACTTACACTAGGCCTTTAGATAATTTTGCCGTGAGACAAGAAACTTTGTCGTTGTTGTGTTGTTTTGTTGTTGAATTTTGGTCAGCTATAGTAACCTATGGCCAACCAAAATTCAACAACAAAACGACGATTTTCGACGAAGTTCTTTTTCCCGAAACATATTTCTTACATAGAAGTAAATAATGGGTAGGATAATTATGTATGTATACGGAAATAAATAAATGTTTCGTCTAAAGTAATTTGTAAAAACTAAGGTTACTGTGACTAACCTATAGGTACTAAATTATATATCTATACTATACCTATTTTAAAGTTTATATACTCTATTATCTTTATATCCCCAATATAACTTACGTTCATATCACTTGGTATTATTTTCTTCAAACCGTATTACCTACAGCAAAAATAGTAATATGTGATATATTTAGTAATCAGTAGGTCATTGATTCATGTGAATTCAATTCCAAAAAGCCTGGCCTTTCAGATTTTAATTATCAAGATAAATGTAGCCAATTTAAAGTGTATTACTTTAATTTTGCGTTAAAAACCAGACGCATATATTTCGAATTGATAGTCAATATTAAATTAACTGACCATGGGGCTATGAACCACGGCATAACATGTGCTATTACGATCATCTGTTAATTATAACCCGCATATAAGTACAATGATATAATAGCAAGATAGATTAGATTAATGAACATTTATGATAACAACTTCTATAGATTAATTGTCTAGATGAAAAGTATCCTCTACAGTGGTTGGCACTTATGGACCGGGTTGACGGGAGTGCTACCATGATCACACCAGTGTTGTGTGTGTATCAAAACCATTGTTAAGCAATTTTTTTTAATCTTTTTACTCACGGAAGACATTACTATAACACCAAGCAAAAAATTGGGACCAGGAATAACTTGCTGCGGCAACTCAGATTATCGTTCTGGGGAGCAACCCTCATGTCCTCCTTACCTCTGGTCTCTCGCTCTCTTCTTTGTCGGAGAGTACAGGTGCCCAGTGTGGCATAGATCCGCTTACGCTAAGGTGATGTTGCCTTGAACGAGACATGCCGGATCATTACGGGCTGCCTCAAACCTACCCCGTTGAGCATGTTGTATCCCCTTGCGGCCATTGCTCCTCCAGACATTCGGCGAGAGATAAGTTGTGCGGTGGAGAAACAAAACCAAGAAAATGATCCCTGGCACCCACTATACGACTTCAATATACCTTCTATATATTTCTACAAAGCCGAGGAAGCTTTCTGAGATCAACTCAAATGATTACCAATAGTTTTCTTTTTGATTTTTTTAAAAGACAACTCCCGCATTAGGAATATATCCTGTGTCGCGGGGGGCTTAACAAACACATATGAAACGGACACTAAGAACACCCAAACTCAGAACAACAATTTGTGGATCACACAAAGTGTCGTCCCATGTGGGGTTTGAACCCACAACACTCGATGTAGTAGGAAGCGGCGTGGCGACCGCTTAAACCACTACGCCATCCGTGCAGTCCAGTTCCTCCATAACGGGTAAGTGAGCAAATATGTGCAGCTAAACATTCTGTCCTGGTAGATTTCATCAAACCTCCAGAAAACCTGCCACCTGGACACGGACTGCTATGGTCAACATGGAGATCACTGTATCACTTACGCACGCAGGTGAGTTGTTGCAAGAGCAACATGGCAAATTGGTGCTACACAGACCATCCTCAAACGCGCTGTGAATGTGGCTCTCCAATGCAAACAATGCCACAATTTGCTTTATTGTCTAGTGTGGATAAAGCAAATGTGGAATAGTTTGCAAGCTGCACTGTAAAGAGCTAGGGACAATGCCGTGTCTGTTGCGGAATTTCGGGACAAAATTTAGGGGTGTTCATCCGTTGATACGACGAAGAAGAAGAAGAACACGGCGGACCCGCGGAATTTCGGGACAACATTTAGGGGTGTTCATCTGTTGATACGACGAAGAAGAAGAAGAACACGGCGGACCCGCGGAATTTCGGGACAACATTTAGGGGTGTTCATCTGTTGATACGACGAAGAAGAAGAAGAACACGGCGGACCCGCGGAATTTCGGGACAACATTTAGGGGTGTTCATCTGTTGATACGACGAAGAAGAAGAAGAACACGGCGGACCCGCGGAATTTCGGGACAACATTTAGGGGTGTTCATCTGTTGATACGACGAAGAAGAAGAAGAACACGGCGGACCCGCGGAATTTCGGGAGAACATTTAGGGATGTTCATCTGTTGATACGACGAAGAAGAAGAAGAACACGGCGGACCCGCGGAATTTCGGGACAACATTTAGGGGTGTTCATCTGTTGATACGACGAAGAAGAAGAAGAACACGGCGGACCCGCGGAATTTCGGGACAACATTTAGGGGTGTTCATCTGTTGATACGACGAAGAAGAAGAAGAACACGGTGGACCCGCGGAATTTCGGGACAAAATTTAGGGGTGTTCATCCGTTGATACGACGAAGAAGAAGAACATTCACGGACCCGGCACCCTGACTCTGAGTGGCTAGGGAACTCAAGGAAAGGTAATACATTTGTGTCTCTTAAACTCGAGTCACGGGTGTCAACAGGCGGCAGTAGGTGCTTACTATCAGATATTCAGCCTGCTCGATTGTCCCTTATACCTACTATAAGAAAATATTAATATTTCAAGTATCTGATGTTATTCAGTTGCTGATTTTACAAATTATCGTGTTTAATAAACATTATCAGTATCAGGTCAATTACTGCACATGTTGGCTACTCATATTTGTGTCTTATCTATCAACGTGATGTAAAAAAATAATGATTGCTGTTTAATCTTAAAAAATGTAGAGATATTGCGCCTTTTTATGGCGTAGGGGGCAAACTAGCAGACGGGTCACGTGATGGCAAGTGACTACCGCCGAATGAACATCTGCAGCTCAAGAGTCAAAAAGTGACGAAAATATTGTCGATTTTTTGTGATATCACCGCAGTCGAGCCCACCCATTTATCCACGTCTCTGATTTATAAGTTAAATTAACATTAAGCTATAAATAGTGAATATTTCACATTGATAGGATAAACATACGAATGTTTGAAAAGAAATAATTGTAATTTAAATGTTCAAAACTGGATTATGTAGAAAAATTTAAATATTTAGGGCTAACAATAGATAAGAACTTTAACTGGAGATTACATGTGAATGACATTTGCAATAGGCTAAGATCGATGCTTAGTAAGATTTCCCATTTAAAAAAATGTACTGAACAAACAGACGCTAAGTTCAGTTTATTGGATTCCTTTTATACGGTCGAACCTTCATTACACATTTAAGAGATATTAAAGACATACAAATAACAATGATAAAGTTTTTTGTAGTTTGAGTAAAATATGGCAGAACAGTCAAAACGCTAGTACCCGACTGAGTATTTACATATTTTATGTAGATTTATGTATGTATGTGTGTTTATATATTGTGTATGTCTCTGAACTTCAATTATGTTAAATTTATTATTTAATTTTGCACCTACCGCATCATATTTCTACATCACCTGAAGGTTGACTGGGAGAGAATGCCTAATGGCATTAAGCATTAAATATACCCATAGATAAAACGGTAGATTATTTGCTAGGTCTGGAATATTATTACAAGGATGAATATAAAGTTAATGTTAAAAACAAGTACAACTCACCAGAGATAAAAAATATAATGGTAAAATATCATCTAAGTATTTAGTACAAGTATTTAACAAAATAGATTTATTAAGAGAAAAAGTAAAAATTAGTAAAATATCACTTAAGACAGAATTAAAAAACATTTTACAGGATTACTAATAGAACTAAATAAGAGTTCACTGTAGTAAATTAAACCATAACAGTTTAATATATAAGTAGTGTTAGTATTTAATTCATATATTTAAAGTTATATTCAAAAATAATAGTTAACATAATAACTATATGTTATAGGTTTATATGTATATTATATAATTGTGTATAGTGGGACTGTTAAAGGCTGATGATGTGATGTGATGTGTCTAATATTAACTATTTGGGAGAGACCAATGTCCAGCAGTGGACTGCGATAGGCTGATGATGATTAAGTGTAAATAAGGTGGTTCATTGTTATGTAAAAGAGCGCTTCTCGCAGGTAAACGTAAAAGTTTTGCGAGTTTAGAACTAAGTAACACCTTTGTACTATAATTTAAATGTGTACTATCTGTACTATAATAAATTTTCTGTCTGTGTGTTGGTTCCGGGTAATCTTCAAAACGGCTGGACCGATTTAGAAAATATTTTACTACGAGGTATCTGTCTATATAAGGAGTAACTTATATAGACAGATACCTATTTTTCCTCTCAGAAAAACCCTATAACATTTTGTCTGGTCGGGGAATCAAACCCACTAAGGCAGCGCTTTTTAAATGGGCACAAGCTAATTAATAAATAAATAGATAAACCCAAAACATTTTCTTCGAGACGCTTGTTACAAATAAGGTATAGTTTCACTGAATTATTGAATTGTAAAATCGAGAGAGGATGTATGGAGCGTCTTCAAGGACGTTCCTTAAATATTATAGGTTATGCTAGCTAAGGTATTAAGGGCTCAGGTGCGTGTGGTGAGGAGCGATTACACACATATGACCCTATTTGTAACTGTAAATGACAAATGGGACATCTTAGCTCCAGTGTCGTTATAATATGCCTACTAACCAGTATAGTGGTTTTGTTATATTAATCAGTGATATTAAGGTAACATTTAGAGGAGATAAAATGTTTTTAAAGATGGTATTAGTCCAAGAACTTATTTTTAAAGTTAAATCACATGGTTATTTGCACGGTACCTATGCCTAAAAAACTAGTTTAAATATTTTTTCGTCTGTCTGTTCCGGATAATCTTCAAAATGGCATGACGGATTTTGATAATATTTTACTACTAGATATCTGCATATAAGCAGTAACTTAAGCTATTTTTCCTCTCATAAAAACCCTACAAAATTTGCCCCGGTCCGGGAATCGACCCCACTAAGGTAGCTTTTCGTAACGAAATCGCTGTCACTAGCTAATTTTAAACAAGGTGCTTTACGGCAACATTTAGGGGCACGGCGACGATGGCGAGGAGATCTAAATGACTACCGAAAAGACTAGTCTGACTATGACAAAGAGACGTTGAAAGGAGAGCGAGAGGCAATTGCCTTGCAGTATAACAACACAGGCTAAAAATAAATATTTAGTATTAGATTCAAGTCTTTTTAGTGTTTCGTACCTCAAAAGAGAACACTTTTAGGTTCTATTTAAATCCTTTTGGTTACGAACGCGTATAGATTTAACACAAAGATTATTTTTTAATACTTTGCGGGCAAATCTTAACCCATAGGATTTTAAAACCTATCAGTCCTATCGACCTATTCATTGAAATTTCCTGTTATATCATAATATATAATTTTTTATATTCCGACACCATTCCGACGGCCCGCGGGGGTTTCCACACGTAAAAAAAAGAGCTGTGTGCAAGGAAAGGAAACAATCCTTAGATAATAGCACTGTTGATCTGTGAGTTGGTCAAACTGATAGCTCTGTATGTGGTGTGTAGGGGTTACTGATCATCCATTTTAAGTTGTTGTATTTTTAGTTTGTCTAAAGAGTTTTGTTGTTTCAGGTAGTATGTACTACCGTAGCCGACAGTTCAGCACTCGACGGTAACTTCAGATATGGTCTATTCCGAGGAGAAATATTGGTATATGGACTGGCAACACCAAACATCCACACTATGTATAGTAAGCTAAACTATTGTTTCGTACGTACGTTTGTCGTATTTTGTAAGTATACATTGTATTATTATACAATGTATACTTACAAAATACGAAAGGTATAAATCATAAAATTTAATTAAAATGCTGGTTGAATTCTGGAAACAATACATTTTCGTCATAATCGTAACTTATAACTTCGGCAAGGGCGAGCTTCGATTATCAGCGGAGCCCTTAGTTCAGCGAAACAGTAATGTCCCAAATGCCTATTTAATATTGTTCCATTTAGTTTGTTCCATGTTGGGACATAAAACTATTTCCACGAAATAACAATTCTAACTTTTATTGGTCATACACTATTCACATCCACAGAAATAACTGTTTATTGTATATTGTGAAAACCAAACAAAACACTTCTATGTTTTAATTTCATTCAAAAATTACTAAACTAAACCATCCTCATCAGCCTATCGCAGTCCACTGCTGGGTACAGACCTCTCCCATTGCACGCCACTTAGATCGGTTTTGGACTTCTCGCATTCAACTCCTGCCTGCCATTTTGCGCAAATCGCCACTCCACCGGACAAAATAAATATACACAAATATCTTTAAACACACAAGGCAAAGGCAGTTCATTGTACTCGTGTCTAACTAAGAAACTCACAAGTAACTTATAGCCCGTATTTTAATACGACTACTAAAACAAAGTTTTTACGGTTCATGTACGTAGGTCAGTTTTTTTTTATTCCATGATAACTTGTAAGTACCTGAACACATTTGGATGTGAGAAATCATTAGAGTCCTGACGTAATGTAACTAATCTAAATAAACCTGAGGCATACCAATTACATTTGTTTAAAAAAAACAATATAGTGGCTATATGGCGCCTTCCTTTATTTCTTGGTAGAACAGGAATATTTGTTTGATTATTTTCCTTGCAGTATAAAGAGGGCGTTCATCAAAACACACGCCATAATACTAATAATAAAACTTATCTGAGATGAAACAAAAATGATCATGTTTCCTATTTCCATATTGTTTTATCTAAAGAATAAAATCTAAAAATATAATGTTGAGGTAATAATCGTATCCCTCTTGTTTTATAGCCTATTTAGTGAAAGAAATGAAACTTCCAGACAATGGACATTTATTAAGTAATATTAAAGAAACATTTGTCTTAGTTGGTCGGCAGTATTTCAAAATGAAAACGGGTTTTCTAAAAAAAAAAAAAAATTTATGCTTGCTAAAAAGAGGAAATGATAAAACTTGGAAGTTATTTTATGTGTTTATCTATACATTTATGAGTTTGTCATTAGTATCAATATGTCAGCGTTATCAATATTTTAGTAATTGCGTTGATGCAGATAAAGACCTATGAAGTGAGATGGTAAGACGGTATTTGATAAATATTTGTACTGTGCGGAAATCAAACCCGCGATCTGATCAGTATAAATATGTGTATGCTTTAATTTATCTATCTGAAATGGAGGGAAATGAAGAGGAACCGTTTGACAGTTCTGACAGATTGAGGTATATCGATAGGGACAAAGTAATCGATTTTTAAAATATCTGAATGTTAAGAGATTTCGATATCATTTCTTGGTATGTACTATTCGATTACAGTTGTACAGATTTAATTATGTTACTGTAAAAGCCTATGTAATGGCACATCATAGGTTTTACTAGTAAATCTTAGCATACACTAGACTTGGACAAGAGCGTTTTTAATGAGTTATAAAGATTTATTTAAAATTACATTAACTTACATACTTTTTATTTTAATTATGCATTTTCGTTGAGTTTTGGATGTCAGTTGAATTTTAAGTATTATTAAACACCTTAAGACGCCTGGACTGAAAATTACTCGTTATTAATAAATTCGTTTTATTCGTACATTTTAACGATTATTCGGATTCAAGTGAACGGTAAAGGACCTAACTACATGACTTTGAAATGAAGTTTAAAAAAAAATGACATCTTTTGTGTATGAATTGGTCATTTTACTATGGTTCAAAGAGTTAAATTTGGTCATTATGGATATATTGCGACAGAATAAAAATAGCTAAATAAGTCCATGGTTTTATGGAAAAGTTTATTGAAATTGTGTGAGTTACGCCTATACAAAGTTGTTTCGTCTTGAAAAGTATGAAACGTCAAACGTTCCTAGATAAGATGGACTATAAGATGAAACTAAAATGTCAAGAGTGCTTTTGACAGCTTTTGTCCAGAATGTCAATTCAGGACAAGAGGGGTTTTGGCAGAAATCATAGTTTAAAGTACTATTAGTTGAAGGATCTAGAAACTATATTTTATTTCATTTGGGGAGCTTACAGTTACAGTACAAGTACATCAGTAATTTAGTTAATGAACTGCCAATAAAAAGCTTCCACAGAGACATAAAAAAACATTCTACTTAAGTTATATTATAAGTTCTGTTTCTGTTTTCTGTTTTAAAAAAGACAACTCCCGCACTAGGAATAAATCCTGTGTCGCGGGGGACTTTAAAAACATACATGAAACGGACACAAAGTACACCGAGACTCAGAACAACAATTTTTGAATCACACAAAGTGTCGTCCCATGTGGTGATCGGACCCACAACACTCAGCGTAGTAGTGAGCGGCGTGGCGACCGCTTAAACCACTACGCCATCCGTGCAGTCAAAAAAACTGTAAATAATTGAAAATACATGCAGAGAGGTAACACTATAAACAAATCTGACAGTTAGATATTAACCAGCACTACCAGTACATGTACTAAAAAGATCAAAATCACTGTCACGATTTAGTTGTTCAGTTCAACGAAAATTCTAGGCATGAAGCAATTTTTTCTTAAGTTGGTGTGACTTGGAGGAAGATAAAGTAAAAAGTTGTCACGCAACCTTCTAACGGGTGTTCTTAGCCTAATCATACCAAGTAGACTCAGGGCAATCGAGATCAGAGGTCATAAGCACTTATGACATAAAATTTCAAAAAAGGTTTTCCAGAAATCATAGTCGAAAGTACTATTGGTCAAAGAATCTAGTTAAAAGTATAAAGTATAGTATAGTAAGTATTTGTATTTACATTCTGATAAGTTTTAAGTTAATTTTGACTGATCCTGAAGTAGTTGAAATAGACTAAAAGCATCATTCAAACGGTACACCTGATAGTAAGTGACAACCGCCACCCATGGACGCCTCCAACTCAACAGTCGCAAGGGTTGCGTTGCCGTCTTTTGACGCAAACAAGCGTCAGTCTCACCTGAGAAAGAGCTCTCACAAAAAAAATTGTTCATAAATTCATTACCTTGAAATGTACGCGTAACATAGCAAACAAGCATAAATCTGTGTAATAACAAGCTGCCACTAGAAATCATCAAACTCAACACCAGAAGTTATAGATGTGTATATAGACTATGCATCTATTAGCGTGCTCTCTGTTACTTTCCTAGTTGTAGTATGTTCTTCCCTGTTTACTTCATGAATGCTTATGTCAATGCCTATGAGTAGAAAAACAATTGCAAGAACAGTTTATCCCTAGGCCTAAAACTACGAACATCAATGCTAGTAACCACTTAAGTAGTAGAGTATAAAATGGTTAAATATTATTAGTTAATGTATTCTATCAGAAAATACAGCAAAACAGATGTACTATTACATATAAAATAAACATGCATTTCGTGATTTCAGTGACATGCATCGTAGAGTTGAACGCGTGTGCTGTCAGCTGTAAAACTGAAGAGGACGCGAGGCAAATGGAGGTAAATAATGCACATACGAGTACGTATATTTGTATGCACGCTACCGTTCCTAAGAACTAAATATGCTGTGTGTATACGGCACATTCAGTTCTGATATTATTTTTAGTCCTTCTTTTTTTAAAGAGAACTCATTAGAACTAGTCAGATTCAGAGTAGCGGGTGGTTAGTAATTGCTTTGCAGTTCAGTGTGTCTGTCTGTCTGTCGTTATGTATTATTGAATTATTTTGCTCGTTGTTTGTGGAAGTCGCCACAGATTTATGCGTCACGGCGACTATAAGAACATTCAAACAACGGACACTAATAAATCTCAAACTTGAGACAGAAGACAAAAAACTCAGATATCTCGACTCGCACCCACAAAACTAGGTTAAATAGCGAACATATTAAGTGCAGTCATTAAATTGTTTTTAAGTTAGAAGTTAGGTATAGATTTGGACTCAAAAAGTTTAGTAACCAAAAAGATATAGACAAAGAAACATGCGAGTCCGAAGGTTTACACGTTGCACATGCAAAGTAAAATTGACCCTTTATAAAGCGTATTGTCAGACATTTTACATTTGTAATCTTCGGACCAGTTGTATGCAGAAGACCGTTAGAGCTTTTCGGGTCCATTATAAGAATACATTAAAGATGCTGTTAGGGTTACGACGATGGTGCACCTCTGGCATATTCGCCGATGCTCTTACAGACGGTTTTGCAGCAAATAGGCGAGAGCGAAAGCGGTTTCACTGCGGCAAAAGATACATGGTAGTTCTAATCGTGCCCTGAGTGTCACTGCAGACAGATACGCCACTCCTACAATAAATAACTATTGCTAATCACGTGTACTAACAAAGTTACTAAGGTGTATACTAACAATTTATGGATATTCCGAAATAAAGAGATTAATAATATTATTATTAAAGCGATTACACACTATTTTGTGTGTGTCAAAGTACGCCACAAACACATATATATAATACGTGAGCAATTAAAGAAGAAACTTTAAATTTATATTTGTGTGGCAAAGGAAAGAACAGGTAAAAATACTTCCTACGAAGCTTACGTCTTTACGGAAATCAGGTTTTAATTAATTTAATTAGCTAATGACATCCCAAAAATTTTGTTTAGTAATAAGGCGAGACACGTGAAAAGGAAATGATACAATTTATACGACTTTATAATAACAGTATACAGTTGATAACATGATTTATAATTAATTAGTTCACATCCGGTTCGAAAGATTTTGAATGTCTCAATGAGTAGGTAAATTCTGAATTATCATAAATTAAAACACGAAATAAGTAATTTAATGGAAAAAATAATAAGAATCCCATGAAGTAACCTGTAAGTATGTTTTTGGCATTACTAAGTAGAGGTAATCCTATTGTACCTATTAGATAGGTATATAAGGGTTCTGCTGTGTGTAATCAAGTTTGGAGTTGTGAAATGTTTGGCTCAGATTTAAGCTTACATGTTCGACTTCTGTAAAATGCAACAAATGTTTGTTAGTTGATCAGTCAGTTTAATTTATTAGCCAAAAGACCCAGTGGTCTTTTTTTATTCTCACTGTTTTTTTTCACGAGAATTAAGAAACAGTGAGAATAAATTAACATAACAAAAATGACGCAGTCTCAAAATTTCGCCATGTGTAGCAAAAAGCTAGTCGGCAATTGTATCCCATTCCTACACTGCAAAAATTTACTAGGGTTTATAATTGTTTCCAGGTACGAGCACTGGCGCAAGGTTTTCAACCCAGGGCAGATTGTATCTCCTCAACAGACGTAGATGAATCTCATCAATGTAAGTTTCTACTGGTACAGCACAAAATTACATTAAAACAGCCGTCCGTGTAGTGATGGGTTAAGAATACAGAGTGTCACCACCCCTGTTCATCCCGTGGGTGTGTAAGAGCCGACTAAGGCAGGAAGGAGGAAACTAGGTACATAGCACTGCAAAGAAAAGGAAAACTTGAAACAAACCCTATACCAACCCGTCTGGCAAGTGTGGCATTATAGGCCGAAACCTTCTTTCTAAGGACAGGCCTATGTCCAGCAGTGGACTGTTAAAGTCTGTTGATGATTTATGAGTCTTGCGATAAACATTGTTTATAATTTAATCCTAGACACAAAATATTACAGATAGTTGTGGTAATACTCCTAAGATTACTTAGGAGTATTACAACTAACTGAATTGTTGATTCAGCTTAAAAATAAAATAAACTTGGAAGTTATGCAGTTTTAGAAAAACTTTTACAGGTATCAAGTGTGTGTTCACAAAACCAGTGCTTCGTATTATGACAGCGCTAACATACAAAAAAGTTGTGTTCTTATTAAGAATAATATACTTAGCAAAGCTTTAAGAGTCAATGAACACGAATTACATTGAGTCTGTGCCAAATAAAAAGGCGACGAAATAAAAAAAGGAATTTGCTGTCGAATAAAAGAAGCACTTGCTTGGCTTAGCACCCGCTCAATATTGGGTATATTAGACCTTGGTTGGCTACATTTATTTACTGTTAACCTTGTAAAAAGTAAAACATAGTGTTAAATTTGTAGCAAAACATGAACATTATTCAAAAAAGAAGAATAAAACCGGTTAAAGATCGTGCCTTAATAGCTGTATGCAATATTTTTAGGTACATTAGGTGCTTTTGATTTTACCTGTTTCAATGTGAAATTAACAATTTGAAATTGCAGACAAACAGAGGGGTCACCTGATGGTAAGTGACCATCACCACCTATGGACACCTTTAACTCAAGAAACACGCGTTTCTTCTTTTTATACCATCTCCCAGACAGTTGCCTCACCACTGTGTGGTAAGGCAACTGTCTGGGAGGTGGTATATAGGTGGTGGTGTAAATGGTGGTGGTGTAGGTGGTGTAAATAACAATTAAAGAATCTCTTAATATTGGTTTTCTGTTAGGCCTCGGTATCGCCCCGGTCGAGCCGGACTCTATGGCAAGCATGGTCCCACGGCTTTCTTAATCTTAAGAATAGGTGTAACATAAATTTGTAAAGTATGGTTTGAAATTATCCTTGCTATGTTTTTTTGTACATATAAAATTACGGATTATTAATTCCGTCCGATAGATTTTATTACTAGATGTAAACAGAACTTCCATCCTTTTATTCTCGAATCGAACTGAATACCTTGATAAATCCTTTTTAGTTTGCCAGATAAATATAGTCTTGGAAGTTCCGAGAATAGCGTGAATAGATTTCATATTCCATTTTTGTCTTAATGGTCAGTTTTTGTCAGGTAAGATGGAAGACAAACACCAAGTTATCTATAAATTAAAAAAAAACTTTTTTTTTTTTATTTCAGCGGATAATCCTCCAGTAATATCATTCGCGTTTTACGTGAGCCTCTTGGTGATATTGTTCTTGCAGCTGACATTTGGAGTTTTATCTGCGGCATTAGCTATCATTAACGCCACCAAAAATCCTACGGAGCCAGTTTTCGGCTTACCTGGTGAGTAATATCTGCACATGTAAGGCACTCCTACGATACTATTTCTTATTAAACGTTATAACTGTGAGCGTGCACTCACTGTACAATAATACAACTGTAAATAAAATTAAATATGTAACACATACGTTAAATTATAAGTAAAATAAAAAATGTGTAATATTAACACTTGTCCAAATTTTTGAGAAGATTAACCGACTCGGTCCTCGTCATAAATGCTTTATATATGATTGAAAATATTAAGTACACAACTATTCCCAATAAAAATTTGGTATAGCTATATATAACTAGAAGATATCTATGTCCAGCGGTGAACTATTTGATGCTGTTAATGATGATAATAGCTAGTACTGTCAACTACACATATCTAAAAATAAATAACTTTTGAAAATAGTCGGATAATAAAGGGGTTAGCAAAGAATCTTTAATTGACGAGCATTAAAGAAATACTTTTATAAAAAGTTGTTCTGTAGTCAACACAAAAAATCAGGAGTTAAAGGCAGATATACCTACTCGTAATTTAGCTTTAGTACCGGTATTATACCTGATTCCATACCTAAACGTTTACTTACTATACAATTTGTCATATGTATTGATAATATCTTTTGCTGTCTGCCCTATACTATTATGGGAAATATATAGTATATATGGTAGTCAGATTGATGTTAACAAAAATCCTTTATTACAGGGTGTCTCTGGGCTAACGTGGTTACAGCGATCCTGGGTGTAGTATCTCTTTTTATGTTCGGTATTAACTGGACCGCATCAGGGCTGAGCGATCACTTGGCTGTGTCATATATAGCTTTTGGTTACTTCACCCCAATAGCCTCTCTAGGATTCTCTTACTGGTAAGATTTTTTTATATGTCTAAAAAAAAAAATGGGTAAAAATCTCGTTCGGTAAAATCGGATTTTTATTCAGTTTGTTTGTAGAAATTTAATAAGATATCCTTCACTTTAAGCTTTTTATGTTCAAGTGGGTCTAATCCAAACTAATCTATCCAGTCTAATCCAGTATGGAAATCGATTCAACATAACTTAGCGAAAAAATTACCTTGACTATTGCGCAATTCGTGTTAAATCTAGAGTATATATTTAGTGTTGTTTACCTGTGATTTGTAGGTGGGCCAGAACACTTTGCCAGCATTTTAGTGTGTCAACAATAAAGTGGCTTTTAGACACCTGCGTTTATTTTTGGGCCTAAAGAACTTCTCGTGACTTTTAGACTTTATTTTTTTTATTTTCTCTTAATCATAGACTGCCGCGCAATTTAGCCACAGAGATGGACGTTATCTGGTGTTAGGATATCTAACACGGCCAGTCTCAAATTGAAATCGACTTTAATATTCTACGTGAATTCTAATATGTAACTTTTATGATAATGTTCACTACATTCCTAGGACTCAAGCTACAGTTAAGTTCAATTGAAGCCCACTTTCAAACCGCTTAAAACTTTCCTCATTGAATATCTTGAAAATTAAGCTTGTACTTGTTGAACGCCTTCTACTATAAAACTTACCGAAATGAAGGTAAAATAATTACAGCTGAGTGACTTTTATAATTTGTCTCCCGATGGTTCCGATTGCTTCTTTCTGCAATAAATGCATTTTCATTAAGACGAACAATTACTATAAGTTGTGTGTTGTGTTGTGATTTCTACTCTTTGAAGACGACAATTATGAGTATCAGTTGATTTATCACGGATGACTAGAGGCACATAAATCAGACAAGATAAATAAAATTATTTAAATAAAAAGAACTTTGTGAAGTTTGCTTTCCAGTGATAAAAACAGAATTATTTTGACCAACTTTTCTCGACTCGAACTAGAAAGTTTAACGTTTACGTAACTAGTAAATACTGACGAATATTCAACATCAAAGTATTACTTTATTTCTCGTTTTAAAGAACAATAAAAGTCATTTTACGTTTATGTAACATTAGCTCGTGCCTGCGGCTTTTCCTGCTTTAATTTCAAGTGTCTCATTCATTTTTTAGGGACTAAAAATAGCGTGTGCCAGTCCAGACTGAAACTTTCTTTCCAACCGGGTAAGATGCAGGCATTACCATGACCGGAATAAAAATGGCTCTTTCTCTTTTCCAGGTTACTAATTCCAGCAACATTGTGTCCAATAGCGAATGTTGGTCTCATTCAGAGCAGATCGTACCTTCTTGAGAAGGACCCACCGCCACCAACGATCAAATTGGAGAATCATTCTGACGGCACCATATTCTTATATTAATGAATATAGGCATTTATAAACAGTACACGAACTTATTAGAACATTTTTGATAAAGTTGAAATGAAAAAAGGTAATTATATCTATATGAGAAGTTGAAGCGTCTTATACACAGGGCTTGTTTTGGCTCACTGAGCCCTAATTTAAAACTAATAATTTTTACTCAAATGTTAACCCAAAAATTTGTGTAACAACAAGCTTAAAATTGTATATAATCAATATATTTATATTTTTATGTATATTTTATTAGTTCTAAGTGCCTAAATGGTTTTAATAAAATATAATTAAGAATACCTGTTTTTAACAAATTTTAATTATCATCATCAACAGCCTTTAATAGTCTACAGCTGGACATAGGCCTTTCCTTAGAAAATAGGTTTTGGCTTTATATACCACGCTGGTCAGACGGGTTGGTATAGGGTTTGTGTCAAGTTTTTCTTATCTTTGCAGTGCTGTTGTCATGCGTAGTCCCTAAGTCGGCCCTTACGATACCCACGGGATGTACGAGTAAAGGGGTGGCGACAATCCCTATTCTTAATCTGTCACCACACGGACGGGATAAATCTTTACAGGCTTTATAAAATACTATTTTCAATTAGATAGATATTTATGAATACTTTATTTATACACCAGGGTTTTTAAAAGGCATTATGAAGCATAAAATGTACATCAAGAATTAATGGACAAAGACCTTATCGCTTAGATAGAGCAAAGTCTTCCAGGCACTCCTTAGCTAGACTGGAATCCTTTTAGACTAGTTCTTGTTACAGTCCTTCAATATTTCTTCAAGTCCTTCAAGATTTCTTTCTTGACAAGCAGTGGAAGCATGAAGTTAAAAGTAATAACTTTTAGTTCTGTGCCAGGTGCAGTCTTAATTCTAGTGGCTTCTTATAGTTGTAATGATGGTCATACGGTACTGGCTACCGGAGTTTCAGCCCCATTTCCACGTTAGAGAGTACTCAGTTACTTTTTTTACCGCCGCCCATGGACACTTACAACTCAAAAGTCTCAAGTTCGTTGAGCCCCTCGGAAATAGGGGTAGAGGAGGATTACGGTAACCTCATGTACTCGTTGAAAAGCAAAAAGAAAAAACAATCAAAGAATTGCCAATACCGGTTTTTTGGTGAAACCGTGCGAGCCGAACCATAGCTATCCCATTTTAAATGAATTAATTTTGCAAATCACGTATTTTTAGAAAGTTGTACATGACGTTATTTATAGTACACTATCGTACAGGTATTTCGTTTAGACTAAAGGTTTTTATATGATTTAAATGGGAAAGTTAACGTGAGAATTAAAATTGTAATATCCTGTAAACTGTCGGAAGCTCTTAATTGAGTGAACTCGATAATCTGTTACAGCTCACATTATCTCATTAAGGTTTGTGTTATAAGTGAATAACGTTTAGATTTCTCCATTATTAACAATTAAATTAACTTCGATCCTTTCTCATCAACAGCCTTTAATAGTCCACTCTTGGATATAGGCCTCTCCTTAGAAAGGAGGTTTGGGCCAACTATACCAAGCTGGCCAGACGGGTTGTTTGGCCAGTAGGTTTGTGTCAAGTTTTCCTTTTCCTTGCAGTGCTGTTGCCCTGCGTAGTTTGCTCCCTCAGTCGGCTTTTACTACACCCACGGGAGGAATAGGGGTGGTAATACTGCGCATTTTAATCCGTCACCATACGGATTAAGAATACGAAGCGTATAAAATATTGAGTTTTTGGCAATGGCACCAGGCGCCTAAGCGTATAGACGAGCTCCAATTCCACGTGTACATATTTAATAAATGAATTATGTTTAGATTAAGCAAAGATAGCTAACTAGATAAAAAGATACCAATTTAGACGTAATCTGAAAGTTAATTCTTTAATAGACTTGTAATAAAATCATCGCATCAAAGTAGGCAAAATTTAATACAATTTCCAAATAAACTTAATGCGTATTAAAACCCTTTTGCCTAAATCGTTTTGTTGGAAACTTTTGAAAAGTTACAAAAAAGCTATTCCCGTTCGGTCGGCGACTTTTAAATGATTTGCATATAAATAAGAAAATTTTATCTTTTGTTAAAACTTTGTTGTATAAACGATTCCATTTGGGAAACGCGACTTTTGTTGAATTTTGTACTACTTTTATTAAATAGTCTAACTTAATTACTTAATGTCTTGTAAATTTGTATTATTATCGTGAATAAACAAAAAACAAAACACTACGGAACCAGTTGTTTAAATATTTTTAGAACGTTATGTATATACCTAGCTGTTAAATTGTTGTATACGTCTGAGAAAAAATTGTTTCAAATTTCTTTTTTTTTAGAAATAAAAAACTTAACATGGTTCGATCCACAATAAATCGATTAAACAAATTTTCACTTCTGTTTGTGATGATTATGTCTATTTGCTGTAACTTTTGAAGTGAAAACTTCTTTAGGCGCGTTGGGCATTTTTGAACAACAAACAAATGAATGTATTTTTTGAGATTGGAACAAACATTGGAACTCGCGACACTGTTACCGTTACCGACACCTCTGTATATATATATCTACACGTGCAAACGTGGCTAATATAGCCACGTTTGCACGAGTTGAGTTGGGTTACAGTTCAGTTTGGGTTGAAATATATTGATAATATAATATAAACATATATTGTGTATATACGTACCATATATATTTATGTCGGAACTCTTCGAATCGAAAAAAAAAACAAAAAAATGTTATAAAAAAAAAATAGTTTTCACTTCTGTCGGCACTCCCGGAGTGCCACTGTTTTTTTATTCCTATATTTCTAAACAAATTCTACAAGTTCATGAACAGCCTATATTTTACATTCAATTATATTATTGACATCTCTCTCTCTCTCTCACATACGAAATGTGAGCTTTGTCGGTCAATTTTGTTGGAAAATAAGATTTCGCTATTTAAAACACCCTGAAATTGTTAGGGCTTTATGTAATTCATGTGGTTTTCCATGCGATCCTAATCGGAGCATCCTTCCTTTGATGTTCTTCCAGCAGATGAATATCACATCTCGTTCCTGTAGAGAGCACACTGTAAAAAGGATATAATCACGGAAAATAGGATTTAAGAACAATAGTGTTTATGGACGGCGTTTTCGCGGTCCGCTTCTGTCTCTTACATGCCTGTGTGTCTCTTACAGGCAATCTTTGGTTTGATTATATTGCATCAAAAGAATTTATTTAATTAAATTTGGTATATTTTGGTATTTTTGAATTGTCAAGAATAGTAGCCAGCAGACTGCGTCTAGATAGTTCCTGTTTTAATAAGTAGTAGGCCTTATGAATTAGAACAGACAAGATCAGTCACAATTTTTTTAAAATGTATTGGACAACTTTCTGTTCACATTGTTAATATAAGTGCAAATTAAATATGAAGACAAAACTGTGTGTGTAGTTTTAAAAAATTTATGTTTTAAGAACAATACATAGACATTTTTGTCTGTTACCATATTTACATGATGGCAGTCCCTAAGTGACCACATCCGATACATGCACTGCTAACAACAACCGGACTTCTAGGCCAGCATGACATCCTCATCACCTGGATAGTTGAAGCTCCACTACAGTTCGCTTTTCGAGACACTTTTTGCCCTGTACAACCAATCTGAACGGGTTATCGTCTGCGGTATTACCGGACCGATACGACCTTCAAACCTTCAAGAAAAGGGCGAACTCCTTCCTAAAAGGCCGGCAACGCGTTTGTGACTCCTGAGTTGCAGACTTTCATGGGCGGCGATGTTCACTTTCCTTCAGGTGACCCGTCTGCTCGTCTGCCCCCTCTAACATAAAAAAAACAAAAACAATTTGACTTTTTTTTTATGATACAGTGGCAAAACAAGACTACGCTTCACATCTCAAGATTCACATATGTGTGGCCGGCCTTTGAGATACTAGGAACATACTAGGTACTACGGTATAATTCTAATTCTTTCACGGCGATACACCAGGTGTGTAGACACGCTGTAAAAAGATTTAATAATCTACAGTTCTAGTACAGTAAATCGTTGCTATTGGCTGATTGCTTGCAAATTGATGTTGGCGCGTCGGACATGAATGCTTGGAAGGGGAAGAAGTTAAAAGAATCGGTAGGAATAAGCTTAACTAAATTGAGCCTTTATGTAGTAATTTTCTTTGTTAAGAAATTAGTGATTGCGCAATAATGATACACCACCCGCTTTATTTATAACTTTTTGTTTATGGTATAAGGGGGCAAACGAGCAAACTTTCACCTGATGGTAAGCAACTACCGCCGCCCATGGACACCTGCAACTCAAAAGTCACAAGTGCGTTGCTGCCCTTGGAGTTCCTCCCGCTTGTTGTAGCTTGTTTTTTTTTTTAATTTTTAAACTTATAACTAACTACATATATGTCTTGTATATTTGTATTTATTAAAAGAAATATTTTATTACGTATTACTATAAGCCCTTATAACACATTCACACTTAGATACATTTTCTTGTAAATCAACATGATTTACATAACAATGGACATGGAATGTTACTGGAACATAAAAACAATGTAAATTAAATACTGTATGTTATAAAATGTATTGAAAACTGCCATACACTGAATTCTGAATTCCTTAATTTTTAAATTTTAAATTCTGGAATGAATCATCACGGTCAAGGTCCATTAAAGTCAGTGAATTTTTATCAAACCTTAGAGGTGGCAGTGTTTCCCCACATTTAAATAGAAAGACCAGACAGAACCAACAGGACGTATAATTTAATACTAAAAGAATTTCAGTAATCGATTCATAAATGACGGAGTAATAAGGTAACAAACATAAAAGAATACAGTTGAATTGAGAAACCCACCTTTTTGAAGTCGGTTAGTAAATTTCTCGAAAAACGCTATTCTCTTTTGAATTGTTCAGTAAATTGAAGGAAAGAGCAGGCCAAAATATTGGCCTGTAGGCACAGACGGCCCAAAGCAATTTGGATCCCGTCATCAATCATTTCGTTGGGTCCAACGAATGTGTTAACGACATGT